TTAAGATGCCGCTGTTTGTAAATTTTTATAGCGCCAAGTGCAAAATGTAAACTGTGTTTAAAATTGAGTTCTAACGTGAATATGGAACCCCACAGAGCATGCAGACAATTTCTCCACCTAAGAGCCTGTCTCAAACTTGGATCACAGCGGGGATGGTAGCGTCTCCAGGCGGGCTGCCTCGTACCTTTCACAGTGGCCCTGGTCTCAATGTGGCTCAGATCCGCGGCCACCCCAGGTGTGTGTGCGATATCGTAGAGGGTCAGGCGGCTCACTAAGGGGCTGTTCTTCAGTAGGAGTGACAGGGGCTGCCCGATTCCTCCAGAAGCCCCGAGCACGGCTACTTTAGCATTGTTCTGAAAAGAGGAAGAGAAAAATGACTTTTAGGACAGAATTAACATTAAAAGCATTCTGCAAAACACAACACTGGGCTTCTTTTATTAAAATGATGACGATAGCTAGACACAGTCCTATTTCTACCAGTTTTATTCTGGTAGAATTGCTTGAATTGGCTCATTTTAAATGGGGAGAACTCATGTCTTCAAGATTATGATAGCTCTTAGGCTCTTCTGAGAAGATAACAAAACACACTGCTGTGGCTGGGCATGGTTGCACATGCCTGTAATCTCAGCACTCAGGAGGATAGGCAGGAGGATCGCTGTAAGTCTGAGCCCAGCCTGGGCTACATAGTGAGTTCAAGGCCAGCCTGGACTATATAGTGAGACAAAAAGACAGAAAGAAACCAAACTTGCTATGATCAGTGAGGCAGCTGGACTGGTAACAACCTTACCTTTAATCTGCAGTTTTTTTTTAAACAAACAAGAGACCCTAGAAACAGGTATATGGGGTGGCAAGAATAAAGACCCTTGCTGATTTTGGGGCGAATGTGGGTGGGAATGACATGCAGTGAGAGGAAAGGGAAGTACAGCTATCTCTGGGTATCCGCAGGGGATCAGCTCTAGCGCACCCAATACCAAAATCCCTAGTCACATTTGCACATGGCCCTAAGTACCGTAAGGCATCTGTAAGTGACTTACAATACTTAATACAATGTAAATGCTAGGGAAACAGCTGCTATACTGTACTGTTTAGGAAATGACAAAAACAAATTTTTATGTGTTCAGTACAGACATTGTATTTTTCCTTTCGGAATTTCAATCGAGGTCGGATGAATCTGTGGACATGGCCCCTGCAGCTATGGAGGGCTGACCACACATTCTACAGTAACAGTGCTCTGGCTATCAAGAACCCAAAACCAAGACAAGCGTTTTTCTGCTTAGGAACTTAAAATCTAGAAGCAACCAAAATGTGAATTCAAACAGGTTCTGGGATGTTTTTTGTGTGTGATGATGGAGATCAAATCCAGGGTCTCACACATGCTGGGCAAGTTCTCTACCACTGACCAAGCCACCTTTGTTTGTTTGTTTTATTTTTTTTAGATGAATCTTACTGTTGCCCAGGCTGGTCTCAAACTTCTAAACTCAGGCCCTTCCCCAAGTAGCTGGGATAACGTGTGCGGTGCTATACCTGGCTAGCTTTTCTGCTTTTAAGCTCCACCCTCAAAGGTGGACCCTGACTTCCCAGAAATCTTAACTAGCGGGACCAACTAGACCTGAGGTCTGGCACTGTCACCCACTCTGGGCCTTGCCTCACATCTTAGGAATTCCCGGCCTCTAGTCCTACAGTTCCTGTTCTGGCAGGCATTCCACTGGTCCCACATGCTCAACTGTCCACCTATGCCCTCTTCCCTTACCTCTTACCAAGTGGTATTTCTATTCAGTCCATGTCAGACATCTAGAACCATCTTCTACTTCTTCCTTCTCCCACATCAGAGCCCTCCAATCAGGACATGAGTGACGTAGCATCTTAAACACCATCCCGAGCTGTTCCACCCATCCAACTCTATGCTGTCCACTACTTCTTTATCTGGTTCCACCTCTGGGTCCTTCCTCCTAACATCCTAAGCCTCCTTCATTCATTCCCTTGCATGGAATCTACAGAAGCTCCTCCTGTGCCACATCGTGGCCTGGTTTCCAAGGCTGATCAGAAGAACAGTTCTGAAGTGGGCAGCTTAAGACAATCTCAAGAGAGGAAAAGGATGAAAAGTTCAAATGTGTGTTTTTACTTTTATCTAACAAAGAATTAAACTCTACTAAGTAGTACATGAAATCCCAGACAGTACATGAAGTGAGCATGACTGGGGTGGGTGAGGGAGGTATCATCCTCGATTCTTTCTTTTCTCTGGGTTGAGGTGATATTCTTGTTTGCACAAGTTTATTAGCTTAGTTTACAGCTGCAAAAACATTACCCTCACTAGTGGGATCTCTACAGTGCATTGAAACAAAAGGAAAATCTTGGGGATTACAATGGTTAGTTTCTGAAGTCTTTGTAAAAGAGCTGTCTTCCAAATCCATTGACCTTTACTGGGCTGAGGCACAGTTATCAACAGCACACTGCCCAGCACCTGTTCTGAAAATGGATCTACAGTAATTCTCCATCACTTTACAATGTAAGTCTGCTTTGGTTTGTTTCTCTCATGATGCATTTATTAGAATATATGTAGAAGTAGATCTACCAGGATGCTCTGCTCCACACATTTTTACTGTTGAGGAAACACAATCCAAAGTCAGAAGGTCAACCACCATTGGCTCAAGTCTACTTTTCTGACTTCATCAGCTGTCTGTTCACTTGGATAACAGAGTGAACAAAATAAGGAACTGTTCTCCTAACATTTACCATGTATTTTATTATTATTTCTCTTGGTATAAAGTATCAATGTTGAGCACAGAACAAAGAAGGTAAGGGGAGGAGGGGCCCACAAGAGGTATTTTAAACTTAATACATCTAAAACTGAGCTCCAGAATCTTTACCCTGCCCATATCTGCTATTTTAGAAGCCTCTGCTCATCTTGGCAAATACATACACTAGGTTCTGAACCTTGGTGTCATCCCCAACTCTGCTCTCTCTTACTGTTCGCCTGGTCAAATCACCAAATCCCGACGGTTCTACAGTCAATAAATATCCAGTAAGAATCCAGTAAGTTTTTTTTTTTTTAACTATCTCCACAGCTGTTACTCAGATCACAACTTTTAAACTGCCTTTCTCTCCCACCTAAGACAATCTGATTAGAATGAGAATATGAACAAGTTATTACTTTGCTCAGATACTCAATGGCTGCCCTGTTTCTGGGAAAATGCTAGTTTTGCAAGGCCTGCTGCATCATTCCTGCCATTGCCTTCTCTAGAGCTACAGAGGCCTCCTGGTATCCTCAAACATACCAGGAGTCTCCCCACCTGAACACTGGATGATGTGATCTCTGCGCCCTTCTGGGCTTTACTCAAATGTCACATACACTGATCTAAAACTGTAAACCTCTTGTGGGCCCCTCCTCCCCTTACCTTCTTTGTTCTGTGCTCAACATTGATACTTTATAACAAGAGAAATAATAATAAAATACATGGCAAATGTTAAGAGAACAGTTCCTTATTTTGTTCACTGTATTACTAGTGAACAACCATGAATTTACTAGCATGAAGTTACTAGCATGAATAAGTATTCTGACTATGTGAAGGCACTATCAAAATGCGATCCTTCTGGACTGGAGCCGTAGGTCAAGGGTAAAGCATTTGGCTAGTATATGCAAGGACCTGTGTTCAACCCCCAGCACTACAAACCAAACACCCAAACACCCAAAGCTACTTTCCCTAGATCCTTATATTCTTCCCTGTCTTCCCCTCTCAGCATCAATCTTCACACCAATTTCCCTTGTGGTAAGATAACTCATTTCTGGCCCATCTTAGGTGCCACTTTTCACTCATTCTGGCATCTCCTGTGTTGCCAACAGTTGTTGGCAGGCACATTTACAGTACTCGGTGTACTTATTTATATCTTTATTTTTCTAATGATCCAATTGCACAGGAAAAGGTAAAGCATAATCTAAATAAAAAACTTGGAATCTTTTTTAATCACCTCCACTTTGGATGTGATATTTAATGCAAACATCCCCTGGGGTTCTAAACTTCTGCTGTGGAAGCACCTGATGAAAACAGAAGCCCATGTCTTGTCTTCCTGCAATGAGTCTGGGCTTCTGGTACATCTTGGTTTCTGGTTTGAGAATCACTCTTCTAGATGGCTTAAATGGGCCTAGGCCAAGTCCTGTGCCGTTAACACAAGTCAGGGAAGGCTCAGTCTGCTCACAGGAGGGCGAACCCCTCAGAGCGTTCTTAAGAAACACAATGTTCAAATCTTAAGAGGGTAGTCCACTGACAGAGGCCAGGAGTGCTGAGTTTTAATCCTCCGGTCAGATAACTGTGTAACTTTGGCCCAGTCGTCTGTGGGGCTCAGTTTGCCTGTACTATGGAATTAAAATTACACATGATTTCCCCAATTCACGCACAATTTATGGTCGCTGCAAGAAGAACGATACTGGTTATGACAATGCAATGGAATGCTGCATAAAGGCCTAAATTACTTCCAGACCTGAATCCCAGGCTTCTCAGTCTCGAAGGAGTGCAAGGCAAGCGCAGGCCTTCTTAGCTAAGGCCTCCCGGGGGAGGGCGGGGGGTGAATTGAGAGGCTCTGCTAAATGCACCCTCTCGGAAGTGAAGCCACTTGGCTCCTCTCCCACTGCCGGCCGGTGTCTGGGCTGACCTATTGCGCTACTGCCTTCAGCCAGGGCCTGCGGCAGTCCAGGCTGGCCAAGGGGTTGGAAGTGCAAGCGAGCCCGGGACGCATGCGGCCTTGACCCTCCCGCCGCAGCCGTGGAGCCTACCTGGGCAGAGGTGCTGAAGCTGCGGCGAAGAGCGGCGCAAGTAGGCCGGGCGAAGGCGGACAGCATGGTTAGAGTCGGGAGGGAACTGAACCGCAAGTCCACGAGCCTGCAGACTGCAAGTGACTCCAACGACCTCCACACTGCACAGGGCTGTCCCGCTCCGGTTCGCCTAATCTCGCGAGAGTAGCCGGCTTTATGCACCGCCCACTACTGGGTCTCGCGAGATCTAGGGCACTTCCCGGCTGCGGGGCAGAAGGAGAGGAAACACTCTTGGCAACCTCTGTGTTTGGTTTGGTGTTTTCGCACTTCAGGGTCTCCTGGTGGGGGAGTTGTGGTCACGGTGGGAGGTAGTGTCTCTGTCCGAGAGGTGGAAGAAGACTGGCTGGTGGGAGGTAGTGTCCGTGTCCGAGAAGTGGAAGAGGACTGGCTGTAGGCTGGAAGCACCTACAGCCATTGTGGGGCTTCGTAAAGAGGAAGGCCTGACAGCAAGCTCAGCCTGATCGCGTAACAGGTCAGGCAGAGTGGGAGCCCTTGACCACAGCAACCCACCTCTTGGCCCTGAAGCGAGGCGGGAGGGGGATGCGGGGGAAGCTGCGAGTCCGGGGGCGGGGTGCTCATCAGTTGTCTTCCGGGCACCTGCCAAGGCCATGCTCCCTCAAGTTCCGCAGTCCCTTACATTACAGTTCACGAAGCTTATTAAGACACAACTACCAGTGATTGCGAACACTACCACTGGTTCTAGCCTGGCGCTCTTCAAGGGGCTGTACAAGGTCACGGTCCCCTGTTATGGGGAGGAAGGACCTACAGAGATAATTCATCCGTCATCTAGCTCTTCCCGCTGCTGTGCTGCAAACACGGGCCTACTGTTTGTAATTTGCAGTAAAGACACTGTGACTGAACTTAAGTGAATTTGTTCAGAGTCTAAACAAAAGGTAGAGTTAGGATTCCTCACAAGTACTATGATTAAGCTTTTTAAAATTATAAGCTTAGTCCCCACTCCTATTTTCTGGATGTATAAGAGATGCCTCGACACGATCATTTACCTCCAAAAGTTTAGTCAGGTGGGGCAGATAGATGTGCCACATGTTGCTGCCTGGTTAGGTAGACCGGTGACTCAATCTGCCCGGCGACAATGTTTTGAGAAAGCAGGAGTGGAAATAATCAAGAGCATATCAACACAAGGGAGTTCACTGTGGCTGCCTTACTCTTTCCTCACTCCCCTTTGCTTGTTTGGTGAGCTAATGCGAAGTGCCTGTTCAGCCCTGGACTTGGTTATTCACCTGTGAACAGCATCTACACGTGTTCTGCCTTTGGGGAGCTTAGAGTCTTGGTGTGTGTGTGTGTGGGGGGGGTAAATTGCAAGAACCATTATGGGCTACAGTGGGAGACTTTGCTGTACTGTGGGACCGGAAGAGGTGCATGTAACCTCAGAATTGGGGTGGTGGCTGTGTGGCAGGACCTTTCAGAAGACAAGATTGATTGGGATCATTCAACTCCCAAGGAGAGCTAATTCCCTTGCCTCAAAGGAGAGTGTCAGATGGATCTTTAACAATGGGAAGTTTATAGGCAAAGAGAAGGAAAAGGAGAAAGCCCAAAGGAAAACCTGGAGAAAACTGTGGGCCCATGTACAGGGGACAGGTCATTTCCGTTGACTTGGGGACATAAGAAATAGTGTCCTCAATCTTGTTACTGTTCTCTGGTAATAGTTTACCCTTCATCTTGCTGCTAGATCTGAGATCCTCTTGGGGTCAGGAACTATGACTTTTTCTCTGTGTTTTTATGTAATTCCCAGAATAGACCTCAGTGAATTTTGGGTGAATTCAGTAGTTTTTTGATGAGGTCAGAAAAAACATTGTTCAGAATAAGAAGTTTGTATATTATTTCTTGGGAAGCAAGTGTCTATCAGACTTTTGTGAGGCCACTAGGATTACATATCAGGGATTTCAGGATGATTGTTTAGGAGACCGTCCTGTAAGATGGCAAGGAGTTGAAGATGGTGGTGGCCACAGAAATGGAGAGGGTGAGGCTGGTGGGAAGAGGTCTCAGAGGTCTCAGGTAGACAGTTTGTGCTCATTTAGGGTTGAGGAATGAATGAAAAGGATGTAGAGAATCAGGCTGAGAGAAGTGTATTCAGAAAGAAGGTTGGGGACTGTGTGGAAGGAGGGCTGGCTGGAGAAAAAGCAGAGTTTTCTTTTAAGATGGGGTGAACTGGGAGTGTGGGCAGAAATACACATTGGTGTGCTGAGTGTGGTGACATACACCCGTATTGCCAGCACTTGGAAGGCTGAGTCAGGAGAATTACTTAAGCCTGGGAATTTTAAATCAGCCTAAAAATGTGACAAGACCCCATATCAAAAAACTAAAAGGAACTGTTAGTGGCAGGTGGACAGATGGGGAGTTGCTCCAAGAGGAATTGTGGGCTTGAAACCAGACCGAGGCCAGGACTGACAGGAAGTCATTCCCGTGGAGGGGGAGAATTGAGGCTGTGAAAGAGAAACTAGAATCAGATCTGCAGTCTGGCTTTGTCCGTTCTGCATCCCTGCTGTGTCAGTGTCTCCACACAGGAGGGATTCAGCTACCTTCCCCTGCTATTGGGGACAACCTAACGCTGAAAACCCTTCCCATTGAGCTCCTGTCCACCTCACTGCAAACCTCAAGATTTGTGTGCAGTCATAGCTGTTGTGTCAAGCACTGACTCCTGGCAGGCACTGGGCTTGGTGCTTTTTGTGCATAACTGACATTAAACAGCAGGGCAGTCCTCAATCTAGCAGGATGCAGCCATACAGCAGGATTCCATCGTCATCTCTCTTTCTTTATTATGTTTGCTTGCCTTTGAATTATGTGTACTTACCAGGACAGACCTATGAGAATAGTGTAATATGCTGCTCATGTTAAAAAATAAAAACTGAACCTGCTGGGTGTGGTACATTCTTGCAATCCCAGTGTTCTGGCAGCAGCTGAGACAGGAGAATCATGAATTTGAGTCTAACCTAAGCAACTTAATAAGTTCCTGTCTCAATTTTTAAAAAGGGATGGGGATGTAGCTCATGTGAAGGCTCTGAGTTCAGTCTCCAGTGCTGCAAAAAAACAGCAAAACAAACAGAAAACCCCTCTGAACTTAAAGCTTCCCCCTACCAGATTTCTTTTGTGTGCCTCCACCCCCCCCCCGCCTTTCTCTCTCTCTCTCTCCTTTTCTCTTACCAGGGATCAAACCCAGGACCTTACACTGGCCAGGCAGGTACTGTGCCGCTGAGCTACATCCCCAATCCCTCAGCTCTGTTCTTTGATCTTTTACCCGACCCTGGGTGGACTGTGTGGCTTCGCACCTACCCACTGTTGGTGAAGTGGGGTTGTAAGTAGAGATGGTGCAGGAAAGGTGCCTTTGTCATCTGGCATCAGTCAGTCCATCTGAGCTTGGTGGATTTGTGGCTGACTCTCCCATGCTGCGCTTTTATGGTCCTTTCTTACCTGCAGCGGCTTGGTTATATCTCACTCTTGCTTTCAGTGCTTCCCTCTGCCCTTGGTTTCTGGAATCCTCCACCACGTGACATGGGTCCATTGTTCCTTTAGGTGGCGCTCTTGGCCTAAGTCCTGTTCAGTTGGCTTTTAATTGGTCTTCTCTCCTGCCTCTAGTCTACAGGAAACAGGCATCCTGTGACCCAACAAATTTGAGGGCACAGCCCATTTCAGGAACAAAACAAGAATAAAAATGTCCCAATAAAAGTGTCCCATTAAGGTCATAACCTTAAACCTTTCCATGTTTAACTTAGATTTTTCATCATTTTAACAAAAATAACAAAATTATATAAAAGACAAAGCATAAGCAATTATAAGCAATGGGCAAAGAACAAAATTTGAAGTATAAACATTTGTTACCTAAACAAGTCCCAGTTCAAAGTCTATAAAATGAAAGCAAACTTTTTCCTCCATCCAATGATCTTGGTGGAAGACCTCCACATAGTATTAGGGGAAAGAAACCCCAACCTGCTAGATGTCTGGTACGAGTTCGTGTTCTCTAAAATCAAAGAATGAATTTTAAGAACATTGGAGATTAAGGGCAGGATATTAAGAGAAAGAAAGCGTCTGTCAGAGAGAGAGACAGACAGACAGACAGACAGGGGTCCCGAGTGGGTTGCCCATACAGCCCATTTCACATGCAACTGCCTTTCCTGCTTTGCTACCAGCCGCCTGGCCTGAACCTTTCCAGCCTGGGCCCGCATCACCCTTGGTATCTGCAAAGCTTCAGTGGGCACAAGCCAAGCGAATCTAGGGCTTCTTGTTTCATGAGTTATTCCAAGAAACTTGAGACTTGTGAATGTTTGAAATCAAAAATAGAGGAAAAGAAAGTGCTCTAAAGGATATAACTGCATGTATATTTAAATGTGTAAGATAGAAAACCATATTACTAAGTTTTTGTTGGATCATTGAACACAACTGTTTGCAGTCTCACTGTCCACTTTGTATGCTTTAATTTTGTAACTTGAAAAACTTTCTAAGATGACAATATGTAATCTATTAACTAGTGATTTCTTACTGTTTTTTTTTTGAGATTCTGTATTACTTGTACCCTTTTACTGTTTTATTTTGTTTTGTTTTTCTCTTTAAATAAATTTTTAAAAAATCAGAAATAGATGCTAACAGGGGGGAGATTTTTTTTTTCTTTTTTTAAAGACAGGGTCTCACTATGTACTGTAGGCTTAAACTCACTGTGCAGTCCAGGCTGGCCTTGGTGGTCTTCTTGCCTCAGCCTCCTGAGTGCAGAGATTATAGGCATGCTCCACCCCACCTGGCTTTGTGTGTGTGTGTGTGTGTGTCTGAAAGGAGAAAGGTTGGGGGAGAGGATGGCTGTCTCTGACTGTGGGAGGAAACTCGGGCGTGCAGGGAGCAGTGGGTTGGGAATGCAGTTCACATCCAGTGGTTTCAATCTTCCCAGGCAGAAACTACAAAGGAGAAAAGTGGCTCCTGAGCTGGATTGATAGGATTTGGATAGCAGTTCTGCCAACAGTGTAATGCTGGGCAAGTAAGGAAAAATGAGAAAGGGGTTAGCTAGTGGCCACGAGGGCCAAGCTAAGGTTTGGAAATGTGTGTGTGCTATGTGCTGAAAACCATGGGCGGATCTTATGCCAAAGGTGAAGACTTACACACACAGGCATACATACGCCTGTGCTCACATCCTGGGACACAGATACATGGGTCTACACAAGGAGCTTATTTTTATTTTTTACTAACTTTCATTTTTCACCCAATAAAGTATATATACAGGTCTTAATCCTTCATTTTTGTTTTGATCGCTTTCACCTTTGTAACTACCACTCTAAACAAACTATGAAACATTTTTTATTCCAGAAAGTTCCCTTACACGTCTTTCCATCAGTCTCCCCAAACAAACAACCATTTCCTGAACTTTTATTAGCATGGATTTATTCTGCCTGATCAAAACAAATCTATAAATCTGTTGTATACACACTGACACCCTCCTCAACCCACCCCACACATCCACACGTACTCACTATACCTTATGGTGGGCTAAGAGCCCTGTCATGGGCTGTCAGATTTTGCACAAATTTATACAAGCTTCTCTCCAACACGAACCTATACCTCAGATCTAGTATTCCCAGGCTTTCCTTTCAGGTCCTTGGAGCTCAAGGGGGTTAGAAAGATGGTTATCATTCTGCTTTGCCCAGAATTTGCATTTATTTTTCTCTAGTTGCCCTAGGATATTGGAAATTTGGAACATATATTTTATTTTTTTGCCTATTTGCTTATTTAGTTATTGTAGGACTGGGGATTGAACCCAGGACCTCTGCACTGAGCTATGTCCTTAGCCTTTTATTTTTTATTTTGGGACAAGGTCTCCTCAAATCACTTAAGTTGTCTAGGCTTGGCTCTGACTTTCAATCCTTCTGCCTCAGTCCCCAGAGTGCCAGGATGACAGGTGTGCATCACCACCCCTGGCTTACCGCATGCATTTTTAAACAAAATTGTATTTAGATAACTAGCTCCAACTTTCACTTGTGATTCATAGGAAAGTCAAGAGTTGACTGTTTAAGATCTGTCCCAGCAGGACAACCAGGAGGTGGTGGTCTGGCCACACCAGAGCTGCCAGCAAGGAGCTCCTTCGAGCTGAGAGCTGCCAGTGAGGGCAGATCTGGGTCTGAAGAGAGAACAGAGCGAGTTAGGGCCAAGGACCTATGCTGGGAAGGCGGAGCCTGACCCCGATGGAGGAACAGCTGTGGAAACAGAGGTAAAGGAAGTGAGTCCAGATGTGGTCGTGGGAGACTCACAGATGCGTCACACACAGGCCCATCACCTTCACAGGGCCACGCAGGTTTAGGGGAGTGGCCGTGAAAGCAGGGTGTGAGACAGGCAGGGTTGTGCATAGGTGGGTCTGGACCCCTGGTCCATACACAGTTTCCCCACAGTGTGGAGACATGGGATGACTAAGTCAAAGGAGGTTGTGTGGCTCTGGCCTTGCTCGGTCCCTCTTTCTTCCACCTATGCCATTGGGACCTGGTCTCCCTCTGAACCAGGGGACAGATTTCAGGACCCCTTCTGCAACCTCCAAAGCTCAGGGGATTCTGTGACCTGCATGTCATCCAACCATTGCTAAGGTCGAGGCCACATAGAAGGTGTCCAGCTGGAATAGAGAAAGCCTGCTTGCAGAGCCCTTAAGATCCTGACCACAGGCAGGCACCATAGGCTTTGGCTCTGGTCTTAGACACCAATTTTCTGAATGGCTCCTTCTGCTTCCTGGGCTTGAGTTGTAAAGGAACTTCTGTTTGCCGAGCTCCTATTATACGTCAGGCCTGGTGCTAGCTGTATCAGTTACCTCAATTGAGTGTTTCTCTAACTTTCCAACATGTATTACTGTGTCAGTTTACAGTGAGGGCATTGATGCCAGCACTGTGGCTAAACCTTGGTCATCCTGGCACAACCTGATTTCCTCCCAGAGAATGAGGACACTGATGGGGGTTGGCTATAGACCCCAACTCTTGCCTCATTGATTTCCATTCAACCTGAGCCAGGAGCCCAAAGTAAAACTCGTAGCCTGGCTTTTCCAGGATCATCTAGTGATACCTATTTTCCACCAGAAGTAAATGCCTATCATTGTGTCCACAGGGACTGTCTGGGCCTGGGGTACCTGACAGTTGAGCACTGGACCAAATGCTAGTGTCCCCGAGCTCTTATGAGGAGCCCGAGGTCAGGCCCAGCCTCTGCCAAATGGCAGGCCCTGGGCATGGTCAGCCCCAGAGAGGTGGGAGAAGTGCTCTATCTGCCCAGCTCCCCTTTGGACTCTGGCACCCCTAACAGAGAATCTTTTCAGTGGTCTGTTTACCCCAAATGTAAGATGTGCTGTCACTGGACTTGAGTCACAGCCCAGTAGCCTCTGGCCTGTTGTGGTCTGGAAGGGGTCACCCCACAAGCCTCTGCTGTGAAGGCCAGGTGTGCAAGGAAAAGGCCTGTGCCAGCACTCAACTGTTTGGACGGAAGGCGTGCCACTGCTTGTCATCCGGAAAGCTGTGTGGGTTCCTCAGCGGGATCTGTTCACAGCAGAGCCGTCTTTCTCGCACCCCTATTAAGCTGCTTCCACAAAAGATGTTTCTTAGAACTGTCTCCCCTTCCAGCCATCTCTCATGCAATAATGATTGCACCAAAAGCCCCGAAAAGACTAAGAAGAGCTATACTGTGCTGAGATAAGCGCATAAAGGGGACATCTTAAATTTGCCATTTGACTCACTAGCTTTAGCTAGGTCACCCGGAAAATGAAATTTGATGTTATTTCCAATAATACCAATGAAACTCACAGTAGCAGACTACTCGGAAAAACTGATAATGATAAAAATTGATTAAGAGGTTATGCTTGGTGGCGCATGCCTTTAATCCCAGCAGTTGGGAGGCTGAGGCAGGAGGATCAGTGAGAGTTTGAGACCAGCCTGGGCTGCAAAGTGACATCAAGGCCAGCCTGAACTATCTGTGATACTTGCCTCAAAAAGACCAAAATAATTTATTTTTTAATTAAGGAAGCAAACTTTTTTTTTTTTAGGGTAAAATTCACATGAGAAAAACTTGATCTTGGGAAAAGTAAGTTTGGTTCATCTAGATTGAAAGTAGAAAAAAATTGGGATGGGTTAATTGTGAAATGTGGAAAATCAGTGGAGGAGTTAAACTTGATCATGGAAACCACTAAGGTAAGTAATGTTGGCATAAGGTCACCCCCATTAGTTTAATGTTTTGTATAAACACAGTGCTACAGTATTCTTGAAGCCCAAATAGGGAAGCTAAGAACATTTACACTGCTCAGAGTTTGGAGTGCTGACAGTGATACTGATTAGTGTTTTCAACCCACTGAGGCTGGCAGTGGCCCCAAGCTCAGTCACTGTTTCTTGGAATCGTGCTGTTAGGTTGGGGACTTCCCCAAGCATCTGGCTTTTTTTTTTTTTTAAATAGTCAACGAAAAGGTATTAGTTTATTAGTTGATAGTACATTGACATAATGCAAAGCAAAGAAAGAAAGTGTAGCATAACTAGAGGATAGACTTTGAAATACACAAAAGTTTCATCTGGTTCAGATACTTTCTGTGTGACTTTAACGTCTCCTACTCTCATTTTTTAAATCATAAGGTGGTGAATAACAGTACCTACTTCATATGGATATTATAAAGATTAAATGAGTGAATGTTCTGGATGTTATAAATAGTAAATGGAAGAATGTATTCTTTCATTATATTATACAGTCCCTTATTTTACATTTGAAAAATTCTGTATTTATTAAAAATTATTTTTTAAGTCCAGGTGAGGTGGTGCATGCCTGTGATCCCAGCACTTGGAAGGCTGAGGCAGGAGGATTGCTATGAGTTCAAGGCCGGCCAGAACTGCATAATGAGACCCTGCATCAAAAAACAAAAGCAAAACAATTACATTTTGAACATTAATTCACAATATTGAAAAATGCTTGTGATATAATATTCAGATTTAAACTAGTAGCAAAATGCCAAAATGTAACCCATGTCTCAAATACAGAAACATTTTTAAAAGGCTTAAACTATAGGGGCCGGGGGTTTAGCTCAGCAGCATAGGCACCTGCTTGGCAAGTATGAGGTTATAAGTTCAATCCCCGGCACCAAAAAAAAAAAAAAAGATTTAAACTATATAAAGATAATGACTTCAATCACAGATGTAAATCAAATGTTCCTGTAACTTTTTGGTATGAATACGTCTTTGCTCACTGTTCTTTCTCATCTGCTCCTCACTAACAGGTAGTCATTTTTTAAAAAAATTTTTTAATTGTGAGGGAAATAATAAAACAGAACAAAACAAAAAAGTGAGAACAATATAGGATTTCAAAAACAAGACAGAAGAATATTTCCCACAGTTGCTATATTGCGTATTGTTGTTCTCTATACAGGTGCTCAGACTACAGGCTTTAGGCCTGCAAATTCAATCAATCAACACAAGCATTGTTATTTTTGTACCTCAGTTGCTATTATCCTGCCTGTGTTCCTCTGAATCAGCTGCCTGTGCAGGGGGTGGGTGGGAGAGTGGGGCTCTTCTTGTTTCTTAGTATATGCGCCAGCTGGCTCGTAGAAAAGGCAGGTTGACTTCTTCCAACCCTTCAGCTTTGGCCATAGGTGAAGGACAGTTCTTGTTTGGCCAGAGAGTGCCTCCTTTGAGAAGAAAGGGGGCTTGTAGGAGATAATCTGTGGGGCTGAGGTTTTACCTGGATACTCAGAGATATCTGTAGGCCATTCATTGAGGAAATGGAGTGGGAGAGAAAAGCGGGAGCTGAGGATGGACTTTGAGCTGTGGGCCAGATGGGTTAGGAGCCAGTTTTTAGGTTGGTTTAGTGAAGTTTTAGTCCTACTCTCTGCTTTATTCGCCACCCCCAAAATTGCCTGGGCACAGGGCTTTTAGAGGGAGAGGTTCTGGACTGGGCTGGGGATACAAGGGAGGAGTCTTCGCAGGAATCTATATATGAGAATCAGGGTCATGTGGCCCCATTGGCAAGGGTCGCAGTGGCAGCTAGTAATTATTAGTTCAATGTGTTTTATTGAACACTGCTTTGCCACAGTAAATCCTGGACACTGGATGAGGATACAGCAGGGGACAGGACATGTAGAGCCTTTCCTTATGAGCCATGCATCCTTGTGGGTGGAGCTGACAGCAAGCAAACTAACACCGTGATTTCAGAAGTCCGCAAGGGAAGTAAAGACAAAGACACTTGTATTTTAAAAAGATCACCCTGGCCGCCATGTGGAGATTACAGTGTAGGGAGAAAGCAGGAGGCTACAAGATCTCCCTGGGCAGTAATGCAACTTCAGGAGCAGGAGGATAGTACCTTAGACTAGACAGTAGCTCTCGAGAGGGAGACAAGTGGGTGAATTTGGAATCCATTTAGAAAGTAGAGTTGTAGATCAAATGGTTAGCTGGACGTGGTGGTGCCTGCCTCTAATCCCAGAACTCAGGAGGCTGAGGCGAGGAGGATTGCTGCAAGTTCAAGGCCAGCCTGGGCAACACAGTGATTTCAGGCAGTCTGAACTATCCAGTGAGATGCTGTCTCAAAAAAGAAAAAAAAAAAAGGTTAGCGGGTAAAGAAAGAGAAATCTGTCGACTGGGCTGTATCAGTTGGACAGCTAATGTGCTGTTTCTTAAATCTGACAAAGCTAAAAGATGAACAGGGATTGGAGATGTGGACATTTAAAAGACCTGGTTTTGGGTTGAGGAATAAGCTCAGTGGCATAACTGCCTGCCTGGCAAATGCAAGGTCGTGAGTTTGACCTCTGGTACAAAAAAAAAAAAAAAAAAAAAAAAGATGTCCTTGCCATTTTATATTTGAAATGACCGTGAGGCACCCAGGTAGAGTCTGCAGTGAGGAAGTCAAGATGAAATAAAATATGCGAGTAGTTACTATGGAAGTGGTATCCAAGAATTGGGGAAATCTCCGAGACTGGGCTTTAGAGTGGTGATTTTCAAATGGAGACACTAATTCCCTTCTTCTCGGGCACATGGCAAAGTCTGGGGTACTTTTTGTTAAAGCTAAAGGAAGATTGCTACTGTCTTATACTGGTAGAGGCCAGGGATGCTGGTAAATGTGTTGCAGTGCTCTGGTCAGCCCCTCAGCAGCAAGTTATCTGACCCCAAATGTCAGTGGTGCCAAGGTTAAGACACCCTGAGCGAGGGTGTCAAGACATCCTAGAGTGAGAAAAGAAAGCAAAAAGATCATTCAGTCCAAGGGGCCTCTGCACATGAGGAAACCCTCCAGCAAAGAAGACCAAAGAAGAACAACTCGAGGGGGAGGAGGCAGGCTTGGAGGATGTGGCATCTTGGGGAGTGTGTTTGGAACAGGAAGTCTGACCACCCTTAACACAGGCTTTGAAGAGGCTAAGTCATTAAGTGCAGAGAAGATGACCAATGCTTTAGGCAAGAGGGACAATCTTGGTGCCCTTACAAAGGCCAGTTTCTATGGTTTGGCGGGGTCAGGAGTTCCAGGGCGAAGGTGGTTCTGATAGACAACACTTTCTCAATCGTTTTTGCCCTGCTCAGAATTCCTTCCATAGGTAACTTCATTAATGCGCACGCAGCAGGCAGGTACTTTATGCTCATTTTATGGAAGGGGCAATACTATTGCCCCAACTTTAGAAACGGTGGAAACTGAGGCACAGAGAGGCAAGTTATATCCCAGGGTCAGACAGCTGGCAATAACTGGCAGAGCAAGGATTGAGACCTGAGAATTTGACGTTACTGAAGTGGAGGGAGTAAAGGGAGTCAACAGACATTGTGCATCTGAGAAGCCTTGCTAAAAAGGGAAGCAGACACGTCACAGGGACAACGGGATGTTTGTGTGCCAAGAGGAAAAATCCACACGGAGCTGAGAACTGAGGTCCGTGAAGAAGCTGACCCTTCCCAGGGCATCGTACTGGTTACTGTAGAGACCAGAGCTCGGTGACCTCCGGACTTGGCTTTTCTCCCGCCTCTTCACTGCTGGCCTTCAGAGGGCAGCACTTCTGCATTCTGTGTTACTCCTTCTAAAAGGTGCAGATCCAACCTTCCTAGAAACAATGCCCAAGAGTCCCGTGGCCAAGAGCAGCTCAGCTCTGCTCTCAGGAGCCAGAACCCCCCTCTGAACATAGGCAGTTCCCTACAGACCCCCCGCACGGCCTCGGAGGCTCCTTCTGATCCTTGCTCACCACTCCCAGCTGCAGCCCAGCCCGGCTCTTTAACTCAGGGACTGGGGTCGTTTCCCCTCTACCTTGCCCAGTCTCCGGTCTGTCTGGGTAGCACTTACTTAGCCCTTTTCTGGTTCCCAACCAGGCAGGATGCTATTGGCTGCTACTGTGACAGTGCGCTTTTCTTTAATAATGCTCTCCTCTCTTCCTACTTGCACCTCTTCGTCCTTTTGGTTCAGTGTCTTCATTCCATGCTAGAATGTGACCTCCACCAAAGATAGGTTTTGCTCATTTTGGTTGTTTCCATGATTCTGCATGTAGTAAGTGATCAGTAATTATTTGCTAAATAAACAAACGTATTGTTGACTGCTTTACAATCTACTGGGACATGAGGTTTGATAATAAAACAAGGGATATTTAAGTTCTTTAACATTACAGTAAAAGACACTCCTATTTATTCCCCCCTCAAAAACCTCTCCTGTTAGCACACTTAACCCATTTTCGCCACTTTGCAAAGCAATCTAGAAGTCCTCGTTTGTGAATGTGCTGTTGTGACTGCCTTGATGTCCTGAATTGACTTAACCTTTCCCTTTCGTGGTCTTTTTGATTTTTGTGGAAGAGCCAGAAGTCCACGGTGCCAGAGCCAGTGACCAGGGTGGATGAGGGCACAGGGGCACGTTTTTATGAGGCTGCTCTTCTGTTGGGTGGCGCTCAGCAGCAGCATTCATGATGTTTCTCATCACACCTCGTACAGACACCCACAAAAAAGACTTCTAGAAGTGCTTCAGAAAGTGGCCTCAGCAGTGGGATAAGTTTGTTCAAAGTGGAGCACGTTGAGAGGGATTAGTGGCAATTACAATAATGCATTTAAAATGATTTAATATCCACTGTATTCTGGGTGGTTCCATATGCTGTATTTAATGTATTTTTTATTTTAAAGAGGATAAAACAATAAAACAAATCAAAACAAACCACTGTAACAGACACAGGACTTCAAAAACATTACGAGATCAACAATAGTTACCATAATGCCTTTTGATGCCTTCAAAATAGCTGCAGATAACTTTGGATATGGTGAAAATCAAACAGAACAGAATAAAATAAAATAATAAAAACAAAACAATGCAATAAAGGACTTCAAAACAAGCTTATGGTAAATTCAAAATTGCTGCCATAATACGTCTTGCTGTCTTTGAAATACCTGCTCCTACTACTGGATTTAACATAAACAAAACAAAAAAATAAAACCCAGCCCAACAAAACAATGGAAATGATAGGACTTCCAAAACAAGACCATAGGGAATCAACTATGGCTGTAACCCTCAGGAGTTCCCCCTGGATGCCACTGTACCACTATCCTCTGAACCTGAGAACAGACCACTGGCCATAGATGTGAAATGTTAGTGAAACCCCAAAGCACCACAGGCCTCCAGTTGCATTTCACCTCCATAGCTGTCTTCAGAGCCTGTGTTTCTCCAGATAAGCGGGTAGCTTTCAGCAGAGGTGGGGTGGGTGGGGGATAAGTACTTCTTGTTTGCCAGCCCCTGTGCCAGGAGGGGCTAGGGTCTGTCTGTTCTAGTCCAGCGGTGGCCCGCACATGGCACTGCTTCCTACACTGGGCTTGCCTCAATGTTTTATTCTACTTTGTACACATTTCACTATGAATTTTAGAAGTCTTCCTGATTATTACTAAGTTTGCATGTATGTTATGAAAGTTTGAATGTATGCTATGAAAGTGTTTAATTCAGTATCCTATTCTGCAGTCATTCATCTTAACTAGAAAGAAGTATGTCAAACTTACAAATTATTCTTTCTTCCTCCTAGGATGGTTTCTTTGGTCTTTTGTGAACCAACAGAGCTTTACAACATCTTGAACCAGGTCACAAAACTGTCCAGATTAACTGAACCCAACTATCTCTGTTTATTTGGTAAGTACTCTAGCAAGCACACAAACAGCATTATTTTTGACAGATTTAATGACTTTAGAAAGTTGTCAGGTTTGATGGCTCAAATGCTGCTTTTTATTATTGTGGTATACTACTTGGGAATCTTCCCAGATGAGCTCCAGAAGTTCCCAGAAGATGTATTCTAGTCCTCTTATTACTATTTTAAATATCACATACATAGTGGCATTAATGGACACCCTTGTACTTCTCAGATTTAACATAAGAAAATATTATAAACATAGATATTGTACCTCAGTATGATTGTATTTTTCTCTCCCCAAGACAACTACTTCTGTATTTTCAAATTTTTACTACATACCTAGGTATCCCAAAATAACAAGTGGTTTAAACATTTATACAAGAAATTCTGTTGTGTCCATTCATTTTGCAGCTTTGTTTATAGTACTTGGCATTGAAACCAGGGTCTTCCCACTGAGCTACACATCCAGTTTATTTCTTATTTTGAAACCAGGTCTCTCTAAATTGCAGAATTGTCCAGGCTGAGCTCAAACTTGTGATTGCGTTGCCTCAGCCTCTCAGAGTGCATGTGTGGAATTACAGGTATGCACTGCTGTACCTGTCTTTTTATTTTGTTTTGGTTGAAAAACATACTGTTGAGTTTTCTTAGGTCTGTATGTGATATACAGTTAGTTTATTTTAGCTGTTAACTGGGATTTTTATCTGTTCCCAATTGATTGCAATGTGTTGCTATCTCTCTCTCTCTCTCTCTCTCTCTCTCTCTCTCTCTCTATATATATATATATATATATATATATATATATATATACTTGGTGTGTTATTATAAATAATGCTTCAGGGAAAAACTCTGCACATCTTTGCCATCTTTCCATGTTCCTGTGGGCAAGAGTTTCTTCAAGATCTATGTCTAGAAATGGGATTGCCAAATGGCAAATTAAACTTCACTAACTTATCATCAAATTGGCTTTCAAAGGAACTGTCTCACTTTATAGTGCCATCAACAGGGTAAGAAGCACACTTCCTAATACCTAGTTTTGCCAGCCTGTAATACTTGTTTTTAAAACAAAATTAAAACAAATTTAAAAATTTTTTAATTTTTTTTTATTTTAAAGGGGGTAAAATTAAACACAACATAACAGAACAAAATAGGACATAAGAAAGCAATGTAAGCAATATAAATTTCAAAGCTAGACGACCTAAGATCTTCACTATGTATCATATTATCTCTTGTTTTCTTCTAAATAGTTGTCCATGTCTTCACATACAGAATATTCATGCAAAACAACGTAGTATAAATTTGATCTGAACAGAATGAGGGAGGCGTTTTAGGTCTTTAAAACCAGACAATAGTCACTAATGGCTGTTATAGAGTCTCTCGTTCTCTTCAAAATAGCTGTCCATACTTTCATGTATATTGAAGTTCAACAAAACAGACAGAGGGGGAGGGGTGGCTTGGTTTCCTGGCACTCCAGGTCCCAGCATGGCTTGGGTCCCAGTAATCGCTAGTGGTTCTGTCCTGGGCTGCTGTAGCCTGCCACGCTCACAGCTGCTCACCAGGGCGGGGAGGGGTTGCTTCAAGTTGTTTCTTTCTAATGAATTGACCATTTTACTGCCCAAGTTCTGAAATGGCCATAGACATCTCTTTAGGCTCCTGCTTAAAACCAACAGTGTCAGGAAGCTGCTGGCCTTGATTCAGGGCCAGGATATTTGTTGTAATCTGCGTCATATGAAATTATATTGTGTTGTTTTAATTTTAATTTCCATAATTGTTAATAAGATCAAGCATCTTTTTATGTTACTGACCATCCTGGTTTCCTTTTTTATTTTAAAGAGAATAAAACCAAATCAAACAAAACAAAACAGAACAAAGCAAATCACAACAGCAAGCAACACAGGACTTCTAGACAAGACAATGGGAAATCAGCAGTGGCTACCATAATGTCTCTCGTTTTTTTCAAAACAGCTGTCCATACCTTTATACACAATGAAATCAAATGATAGAAAAGAAACTAAAATCATTCAAAACAAAAGAATGAAAGCATTACAGGGCTTCAAAACAAGATAACAGAAAATGAACAATTGTTACTGTAATGTCTTGTTTTCTTCAAAACAGTCGTGCATTCTCTATCACATAATAAAGTCAAAGCACAACAGAAAAAACCAATCAAAACAAAAGAATGAAAGCATTATAGGACTTCAAAACAAGATGATAGGAAATCAACAGGGGCTACCATAATGTCTTGTTTTCTTCAAAAGAGCTGTTCTTACCATTACACATAATAAAATCAAACAAAAAAACCAGAATAAAACCAATTAAAATAATTAAGGCATTATAGGACTTCAAAACAAGATAATAGGAAACAGATCATGATTACCATAATGCATTCTATTATGTTCAAAATAGCTACCCATACCATCAGGCACAGTAAAATCTTAACAAAACAAAACAGAACAAAGCCAAACCTAACAAAACTGTGAAAACAATACAAGAGTTCAAGACAAGACAATAAGAAATGGACAGTGGTTACCCACTTCCGCTCCGAGGTGTTTCCTCCCCTATCACTTTTATAATAACTATTGTGCTTTTTGGATCTCACTAGCTCCTTCTGTTTCTTATGCTAGGGTTTACCCATAGGAGTTCAAATCATTCATCCATGAACAGGATCTCCAGTTGCTTTCATTTACCTACAGGAGCCTTGAGATTATTCTACTTTATAGCTGGATAGCTTTCCATTGTATGAAAGTACCATAACTTTCTTATCCATTCTGCAGTTGATGGCAAGTTATCTTTGCTTTTTTCTGGTTTCCTGTCACATGGGACAATTGTTTTCTCTCCTTTGATTTTTAGTCTATGAATTTCAAATTAAATATATTTCTTGTATACAATATATTGATGTATCTTGTTTCTTGATCCACTCTCCCTGTGTTTCTTTTTATTACTGACCTGAAGTCATCTGCATTAACGGTTACAGCCAGCATACATTGGTTTGTCTCTGCCCTGTTATCCTCCTGCTGTTGGCCCTCCACTTTTCCCCTTCATGCAGTTGCCTGTCCTGTTTGGTGATTCTCCTCTGCTGCTGTTCCTGGAATCATAGTCATCTTTGTCTCTCTCTAGAATATTCTTTAGCACTGTCTGTAGGGTTGGTTTGGTGGTCATGAATTCCTTAAGTTGTTCTTTGTCACAGAAGTATCTTATATTTTTCATCAATTCTGAAAGATAGTTTTTCAGGATACATTAATTTGGGTTAGAAGTTGTTTTCTTTCAGGATTTGAAACACTTCACTCCAAACTCTTCTTGACTTGATGGTTTGTGTTGACAAATCTGCCCTGATTCTGTTTGGTTTTTCTTTATAGTTGGTCTGTTTCTTTTCCCTAACAGCTTTTAATATTCTGTTCTTGTGCTGAATTTCTGGGATCTTGATTATTATATGTCTAGGTGTGGATTTACTTTGGTTATGGCTAGTTGGAGTCCTGTATGCCTCACTTATCTGCATGCCAGATCCATTTCTCATGTTTGGGAAGTTTTCTTTTTTCTTTTTCTTTTTCTTTTTTTTTTTTTTGTCTTTTTCTTTTTTATCAGTACCAGGGATTGAACTCACAACCACACACTTGCAAGGCAGGCACTTATGCCGCTGAGCTAAACCCCCAGTCCCAGGAAGTTTTCTATTACTTCTGTAAATAACTTTTTCATTTCATTTGTGACCCCTGCTTCTTCACTGATACTTATCACTCTTAAATTATTTTTCTTTGTGTTGTCTGGCAGCTATTGAATTGTTATTTCCTGGTTCCTTGTTATCTTTTAGAGATTTTTCCTTTTACCATCACTAGCTGCAATCCTGTCTTTAAGGTCTAGAAGTCTATCTTTATTTCTTTCAAGTGGTTTTGCCAGCTTTTGACTGACTTTTTAATTTGCCAGATCTCTCTTTGAATCTGTTTCATGCATTGTAATTCCTTTCTACATTCATTCAAGGTTTCCATCATTTTCCTATGCTCTTCTTTTTTGTCTATGTTTTCTTTAGATCTGCTGAACAATTCTTTCAGTATGTTTGTGATTTCTTCTTTTACCTGAGACATTATTTCTGATTTGACTGTTTTTATAGTCTCATGAAGTTGTTTCTTTACTTCAGTTGCTGTCCTCTCAGAGATTTCAGGTGTGTGACTTCCATTTTCTTCCATGACTGTATCTCGCACACTTGTTCTGTGTGGGCTGGAGGTCTGAGATTGCCTTTTGCTCCTTCATCTTGACATTTTCCTGGGTTCCTCCCAACAGCTGGTTGTGGGGTGCCAGGTACTTCCCAAGTTGGCCCCCCCCCCCAACGGTGTAGGCGAACGAGACAGGCACGTGGGTTCCTCTGACCCCAGGTTTACAGGTAGGTAGCACTTGTGGAGCGGGCTTCTCCAGACCTGTGCAGCTACACTGGGGCTTCCCCAGTGGCCAGGGGTGTGTGGTGGTAGGGCTGTTTCTCTCTGGCTGTGTGTCTACACCGGACTCCATGATGGTGACAGGCACACAGGGGTGTGTGTTTGTCACACATCACCTGGTGGGTGATGGCTGCCTGAAGGAAGCAAGGGCCTCCAATGGTGGTCTACAGATGCACGGGGCTTACCTGGTTGCATGTCCCTGCTTCTGCTGGCTGCCCACAGGAAGCAAACCTTCTGATGGCAGCAGCCGGCAGGCAGAGCAGATCTGGCTGGTTCTCTCCCTGGTTTCCTGTTTTGTAAAGAATCTATTTATATTGCTCCATTTTTCTATTGGGCCATTTGCCTTTTTTTTGGTGGTGGTGGTGGTCCTGGAGATTGGACTCATGGACTTTACATCCTTAGGCACTTTTTATTTTTTATTTTGAGACATGGTCTCATAACTAAATCCTTAAGTTATGCAGGTTGGGCCCAAACTCGTCCTCCTGCCTCAGCCTCCCAAAGTGCTGTGATGATAGGCATGTGCCACCATATCCACCTCTATTTTATTTATTATTTATTTATTGGTCTTTTTGAGACAGGGTCTCTCTATGCATTTCAGGCAGGCGCTGAGCTCACTTTGTAGCCCAGGCTGGTCTTGAACTCACAACGATCCTCCTGCCTCTGCCTATCAAGAGCTGTGATTTTAGGCATGTGCCATAGAGTCCAACTATCTCTCTCTTTTAAAGACTAAATAATATTCATATGTTCTTCCATATCTATCTGTATCTAATGTTTTCTTTATCCACTTATCTGTCAATGTACATCTAGTTGTTGGCTCTTGTGAACAATGTAACAGCATTGACTATGGAAGTGCTGATACTTCATTGTGATTTTGATTTAATTACCTTTGCCTTTGTACTCAGAAGTGGACTGCTGGATCATATTGTAGTGCTAGTTCTAACTTTGGGAGGAAATTTCTGTATTGCTTTTCATAATGGCTGTACCTGTTTACATTCCCCCAACAGCATACCAGGGTTCCAGTTTCTCTACATCCTCACAACACTTACCTTTTGAATATAACTACTGTAGTAAGTGTGAGTGATAATGTTATTTTGGCTTTTGTTCTGCATTTACCTGGTTTATGATGTTGAGCGACTTCTCATATGTGTATTGTGATTTGTATGTCTTGCTTTGGGGAATATCTATTCATGTGCTTAGCCTGTTTGCTAAGTTGTGTTACTTGGATTCTTTTGCCATTTGAGTTCCTTATGTATTTTGAATACATACAACTTTGTCAGATATGTGGTTTGCAAATATTTTCTTCTGTGGGTTGTCTTTTTGTTCTTTTGACTGTTTGCAATGCAAAATCATTTTAGTTTAAGGCGATCCCATTTGTCTGTGCTTTTGGTGTCATTTTCAAAAAATAATCATTGCTCAGATCAATATTAAGAGTTTTCCTTCTATATTTTCTTCTAGTAGCTTTACAGATTCAGGTCTTATGTTGAAGTCTTTAATCTATTTCAAATTACAGGCACATACCCCACACCCAGCTCAATTTCTGTCATTTTGCAACAAAGAATAAAATGTTCTGCTCTAGCTTTTAGTGTGGATCTGCTGTTATGCTACAGTTATCTCCTCTGTCATACAGTTATCTCCTCTGTCGTCAATGGTCCTGTCACCTGGGATTTGTTTTACATCCCCAGTCCACTCTCATTGGCTTGGCAGAAGTTTCACATTTTAACCAAGTCCATTTTATCAATTGTTTCTTTTATGGCTTGGAGCCTTTGCTGTGTTGTATCTAAAAAGTCATTGCTAGCTCCTTATCTAGATTTTCTCCTGTGTTATCTTGTAGGAATTTTATTGGATTTACCCCCTTCTTCCCCAGGACTGAAGTTGGAACCCAGGGCCTTTGCCCTGAGCTACATCCCTACCCTTTTTGTTTTTGTATTTTTTTTCTTTTATTCTGAGACAGAGTCTAAGTTGCTAAATTGCCTGGGCTGGTCTCAAACCTGTGATTTTCCTACCCCAGGCTTCCAGAGTTCTGGGATTTGTCTTATGTTTTACATTGTCCATTTGAACCTGTGATCCCTTCTGAGTAAGATTTGTGAAAGGTGTCAGGTCTGTGTCTTTTGCTTGTGAATGGGCCCACTTGGTCTAGCAGCATTTGTTGAACAGACATTTTCTCCGCTGTGTTATCTTTGCTCCTTAGTCAAAGACCAGTTGAATTTATTTGTGTGTCTGCTTCTGGACCTTTTGTTCCTTGTTCTGTTTGTCTCTTCCTCTGATTGTACCACTGAATTGATGAGTGTGAGTGCTGAGGTCAGGTAGTGCTAGTCCTCCACATTTATAGGTTTTCTTCAGTGTTGAGTTGGCTGTTCTGGGTCTCTGGCCTCTCCATATGTACATGATTCTTATTTTTTGTGTGTGAATTCATCTTTTCATAGGCGTTGATGAAGGTATCCCTACAAAAGGGTTTTGAGATTTATTCCAAAGCCCTCAAAATCTCAGTGGTCCTCAACAAGCTTTTGTGCACAAAACAGGCCTGGTTTAAGTTTCTTATGGATAGTTTTGTTTTGTTTTTTTAACCTCTTACCTCTCTCTCTCATGGGTAGAAATTCTTAACAAAACAAGGGAGACATCTTTCAGGTTTAAAGATTCCTGTTCCATGCTCCTCCCAACTGTAAGGAAGGCCAACATCTCTCCTGTCCTAGCACAAGCATCATTAGGATGTCAGCTCCTGCTTTCTAGAGTGTGAGCTGCGGTCTAAAATTCACTGGGGCACTTAGCATGAGCTTAGTTGGCCTTGGTATCACCCCTGTTCCCCTCCTTTAGATCTCAGAAAACTGCTCCAAACTCAAAAGTACAAAGTCTTGCTGCCCCTCCAGGGGATGGGTGGGTGCAGGAATGCTGGGCGGGGAGTTCAGGGGCCAACAGCTCACAGTAAACAGGCCACAGACTCCAGGATGTACTCGGACAGCAGCTGTCACCCACGGCCAAGCAAATGTGGCTTGACGATGAAGAGTTCTCCGAGTCCTCTGGCGTATGTTCCTGAATGGAATCCTTTCCTTTTCAGATGTCCGCTCCAAGCGGGAGTACGATGAGAGCCACGTGATCACCGCCCTGCGCGTGAAGAAGGTACTCTGAGCGGGGCGCCAGGGTGGGAGGGAGCGGCAGGTGTCACCTCCGTCCTGGAGCAGCTCCTCCTCGGACACTGGGCAGCACTGTTGTCTGTGCTTCCACCATAGTGTTCTGCCCACCCCACCACAGCAAATGTCTGGGTCATTCCTGGCTGTGCCAGGCCCCAGGAATACCCCAGGGCACAAGATGCCCCCAGTCTGTGTCCCCTTGGTGAGAGTACCCTAAACACTGAGGTGTTCACTGTACCTAAAGACAGAAGCCCCCTGTTGTCTTCCCTTCCTGCCTCCCCCTTTCCTTTCTCCATTCCGGCAGGTAGCCAGAGTCCTGCATTGAGGTGCCTTCTACCCGCCGCCACCAAGCTCCTTCTCCACCCCTGCAGGTGTCCTCCCCAAGGGGCTGCAGCCACATCCCCCTCTGACGTCTGCAGACCTGACCACACCCTGCCCTGGTTTTGAGCATCTCGCTTACTTCCCTGATTTCTTCTCTGTCCATTTGGTTTCTCCTGCTGCTGCCTGAAGTTGTCTGCTGCTCTTTCTGTCCTGTCAGGAGACTTTCTTGGGAGATTCTACCCAAGTTTACAGCTTCAACTATCCACGTGCAGCTAGGGCTCCTGTCCAGTTTGCTTCTCGCATCTGGTCTTGAAAATTCCTCCTGCTCCCCTTTTCCCTTAGCTCAGAGCTGCGTGCACTCTACCTCTGGTGCATTTTCTGCACAAAACTCAGCGGGGAGCCTGAGTCCTGGCTTAAGTATTTTTCCAGAATGAACTTACTGCTTAATTCCCTCTTCTTCACTTTCATTTCCTATTTTATTTCTCTCTGGATTTTCAATTCTCTGGCTCTGTACTTGAGTTCTTAACCCGTGTTTCAGGTTGTTCTCTTATTCCCCCCCCCCCCCCCCGATTTGGAGCCCTCTGTGATGCCTGGGTCTCAGTTTGCAGCTCAGCTCTCCGATCTGTGAGCCTGGGCTTCTGCTGCGCCCCCAGGTCTGGAAAGCAGACAGTGCCTCTCCCTCAGCTCCTCAGAACCTCTCGGTCAAGCTGATCCCTTTGTGCTTCCTCCCTGACTTTCCAGTTAGGGATTGAGGCCCTCAAGACTCCCCGTCCCTCCAGGATGAGAAGTCTACCTGTTGTTTTCCTGGCCACACCCTGTCCCTTTTTGCAGGGAACGTTTCATCTCCCTGTTTAATCCATGGGGTTCTGGTAGTGTTCCCTAAAATACCAGCCAGATCTCTGGCTTCAGTGATTGGCCCTGGCTCTGGGATGGAAACTGAGCCAATCAGAATGCGAATTAGAGAAGGCTGTATTTTTCCAGTGGAATTTGAAGTTCTCTTACTGTAATTTATAAATTAAATTTATATAAGTATGTACATGTAGGGAAGAAAGAGTATGTACAGGGTTTGGTACTATCTGTGGATTCACCTAGAGAGAAAGATGATGTCATTTAGAAGGGGATGTGATCTCACAGTAGTGAACTACTCAGGGCCTTAATAGATTCCTTGGAACCTGAGGGGCCTAGCTGGACACACCTGGGAGACCCACTTGCTCACAGTGCTCCCCATAAACCTCTGTGACTCAGGGAAGTCTGAACTCACCCTGTCCTTTGCAACTTGGTCTAGCAGATGTAGAGGCCCCAACCAACAAGAAGCACCTAAGTTGGCCTGGAGGACCAGAAGAGCCACACAGGGCAGGAGCTATCTGAAACCCTCCAGAAAGGTGTCAGCTAGAGGAGCACAGTGAAGCTTGCTGGTCAGGAGTGGCTTCTGGCCACTTCTTGTAACCAGTGGATACATACTGAGCACTTCCCACATGCCAGGGACTGGTGAGCCCTTGTGTACAGTGACCAGCAAAGCAAATAGGTCACTGTGCTTGCAGCAAAGGCCCTGTGGCGCAATGCATCAGTCTATGCAGAGGCCACAGAGACCAGATGTTCTTAACATGTGCCGCCAATTTAACCAGGGCAGAAATAAGACTGCCCACAACAGGAGAGAAACTTACTGGTGAATTTCAATACCTACCTTGGAGAATATGTTCTTGGAGAATATCCCCACCGTGGATGCCTGAATCCGCAGATTGTACCAAACCTATGTATACTGTCACTCTTCTCGGGTAATGTCATTTCCTTTCTCAAGCAACTTGACCTTTCTCTAGATGGCGCCATCACCTAATCAGCGTCTCTTTTTCCTCCCCTGAGATACACATTTTGGTGACTCAGCCACTCCCTGACTACTACTCACTAGCTCCTCTCTACCTCAAAGCCTGTGGCCATTCATTCATTTACTGTGGTCACGGTCTACCATGCATCAACACTCTCTGGAAGCTCAGTGCCTCAGTGAGTGACACAGACTCGTGTCCTTGCTCTCTCAGGGTTACACATTCAGTCTCGCAGTCCTCCAGTGACATCTGCTTGCCTATGATGTCTGCTTACCCACGTCTTCTGCTTACCTCGCTCTTGTGAGATTTGGTCCCTCTCCAGGGGACAGGGTGTCATGATTTATCTGGGTTTGGTTGTTTTGACACAAAGGCATCCAAGAGCTTTTGAGCCCATCAATAGGCCAACTGCCCTTCGGTCAAGCGCCTACCTCTGAGCCAGTCCCATCCACCCCTGTCTGGGCCACTCATGGTGCTTCTAGCCTTTGTGTTGTCAGGGAAAGGAGCACACAGTCCTCGCCTCAAATGCCTTCTGACATTACTCGCTGGGAGTGCATTCTCCACTGCACAGTCTGCCAGCATGTCCCTGTGTGCTTTCCTTAGAAGAACGGTGAATACCTCATCCCAGAGTCTGTGGATCTGGAGTGTGTGAAGTACTGTGTAGTCTATGATAGCAACACTAGCTCCATGGAGATGTTTATAAAAGATGCCATGGCTGATGAGGAAGAGGACGACGAGGACAACCCTAATAAGCGTGGCCAAGGTGGGTTTCGACTACAGTGACCAAACTCTGTTACCTGTGCCAGGAGCTGTCACACCAGGTGCTCCACCTCCTGGCAGAACCCAGACTGCCAATGGCTGAGACAGAAGGCTGCTGGGTCCGAGGTGAAGAACCACGCTGCTCAGCAGAAGGAGCCAGATGTTAGTAGTTTCCTGCACTGGTTCCCCAAGCCCCAGCCTCACAGGGTGACATGGAAAGGGCCAGGTGATGCCCACAGAGGGCTGCATTACAGGAAAGACCCTGAGCCTAGAGGCCTGAGGGAAGGAAGTATGTCCTGCCATCCAAGCCTGTTGCACAGATCTCCTGAAGAGATGGTGCAGAACTCGGGCAGCCAGGGCTGTCTTCACAGGATGTGCGGAAGTGTGAGAGACCAAGGGGAGCTGTCTCCTAACAGGGACTGTCACTGCCATTTTATAGAAGGGGATCCGGGCCCAGGAAGGTGCAGTGTTTCACCCCAGATGTCACACTTGGTGACTTAGTTATTCATTGCTGTATAACTCAGCAACTGAAAACACATTCATTATCTTACTATTTTCATGGTTCCTTAATTTAAGGGACCACTCAACTGGGAGGCACAGGTTTGTCTTGTAATCAGAATGTCAACCCTAGGTTGCTGTCACTGAGGGTCTGGGTCAGGATGACCCCAGTCTAAAATGACTCTATGGCTACAGCTAGGGGGCCCCTGATTTCATTCTGCTGGTTGCTGGAGACCTCAGCTCCCCACCACAAGAACCTCCCCATGGGATTGCTTGAAGCACACCCCCAACATAGCACCTTGTTTCCCCAAAAGTGAGTGGTGTGAGCCAGTCTGCTGGGCAGGCACATGTCTTTGTGACTTGGTCTCCGGACTTAACATTCAGTTACCACCGCCACAGACCAGCCATTAGTCACAAAACACAGCCCGGCCTCAAGGGGAAGGCAGCCATCTCATCTTTTTTTTTTTTTTTTTTTGTCTTTTTCCTTTTTATCGGTACCAGGGATCAAGCTCACGACTGCCTGCTTGCAAGGCAGGCGCTTATGCCGCTGAGCTAAATCCCCAGCCCCTCCATCTCATCTTTTAAGGAAAAGCATTTAGAAGAATTTGTGGACCCACCCAGTCAGCCTGTTAGAATCTGATCTCCCATAGCTTGGACAGTGACCCTGGAGAGGAACCCAGCTCGGGGTTGGGCTGTAAATGTGGCCATTTCCAAGGTGCTCAGCTTAAATTCTGAGACTCTGCTGTGCTCTCTTCAGCTCCTTGGTTGGGGGTTACCACTTCTTGCCAATGGGTGCTGCTAAGCTTATGCCACTGATGAAGCCGGCCCATTCCAGGCACTCTTTGAACTTTACAGTAAGTCCTAGGATTACAGGCTGGACCCTGAAACCCTAGAGAATGGTAGTGAGTAAAGATAACCTGTTTCTGTTCCGTAACTGATTCCACTCAGTAGGAAGCCACAGCTACACATACCATACAAGGTGACTTTCCCCACCTATAATGCCCTCTTTCAGGTAAATGCAGTCCGTTGGGTACAAGACCATTTCTGGGATTCTTTCACCATCTCCTTCTTAACAACAAAACAGCGAGCCATTATGAAGCACTGGCCTCCCCTGTCCCGAGAACTGGGCACAGTGGGGCCCTTGTCAGCCCCTAGCAGTAATGTGAGGTTATGAGGTGCCAGGGTGTGTGCATGAGTCCTTCCCCCCTGCCTTCTGGCCATGGGGCACGGTCCTTGCTATGACCAGACTGAAGTACCCATGCCTGGTGGAGGTCATGCATGGTCCTCTGCCCCTGGCTGTGGGCCCTCCGGGGTTGCTGATGCCCTGGGTCCTGCTGTATCTCCCTGGCCTCGACATCCAACCTCTACTTCATTTGCCTGAGGCTGCAGAGCTTCTGGGGGAAACCGGGCACTGGTTGGTTGCAGGAGGCTTTGCCTGGTTTTTTTTTTTTTTTTTTGTCTTTTTCCTTTTTATCGGTACCGGGGATTGAACTCATGACTGCCTGCTTGCAAGGCAGGCGCTTATGCCGCTGAGCTAAACCCCCAGCCCCCTGCCTGGGTATTTTTATCAGCTGGTATATTTTTCCTCTCCCTCCCTCCATTTTTTCCTCTCTTCCTGCCTTTTCTTCTGTTGTCTTCTTTCCCTTCCTTCCCTCCTTCCCTTTTCTCTGAGGATGGAGCCCAGGAGCACTTTACCACTGAGGTACATCCCCAGACTTTTTATTTTTTTATTTTGAGATGGAGTCTCACTAATTTTCCCAGGTAGGACTTGAAATTGCCATCTTTTTGCCTGTACCTCCCAGAGTGCTGGGATTACAGGCATGTGCCATCACACCCTGCTCAGCTGGTGTCTTTTCTGGAGCCCTGCTCTTAGCTTCTAGGACTTTCTTTCCAAGCACACTCAAAGGGCATCCCTCTTTTTGTAGGAGAGAGATTCTTCTTAATGTCACATCACACAGACACACACAGAGACAGACAGACAGATAGACACACACACACACACAAACACACACACACCCTTGCTTCAGTATGGATTCCAGGCCCTTAAACCAGGTTCTTCCCCTGGGAAAAGGAGCTTTGGGGACTTCCTGTCTCAGTGGAGCCTGCCTTTCATGACAATTGGCTGGCTAAGGAACCCACGGAATTTAACTTAAAGCCCCCTCCACTAAACAGGGACCCTCTAACCTATAGAAGGGAGGGGAAAAACCAGCAGAAACACCAGGGTTGTGTAAAGACAACATAGCCTGGAATTTATTGTGCCTGGGTACAGGCAGAAAGCTGGTACTGCTGTCTGCTGTGAACAAAGAGAAGTGTATCCCTTTTTATAGGGATGGAGAGAAGGCAGGGGACATTAGGCAGGAAAATTCCAATAGACATCTGTGATCAAATTGGCTGCCTTGCATCTCAGTGAGTAGAGTCCTTGAAGTGTCCTGTGTAAATTCTCAGGTGTCTCCAGATGTCCCTAGATGTCCCAGGAGCTGCAAAATTCCTTGTCCTATCTTATCTCCTTTCCTGTGCTTGCCATAACAGGAACTGAGCTGAGATCCCTGCAGAGAGCTGGCAAGCAGGCTGGGGCCTGGGGGAGTCGGGCCCGGTTTGAATCTTACTTTCTCCTCTTTTAGTTATTATAAAAGAAAAGGGAAATGGGCTTTTGTTCTCATGGCTTGAACTCCTGAGTGGGCAACCTTGTGGGAGAGAAATGCTGAGGAACAGGGCTGTATTGAAGAGAAGTCAGCAACAGCATGTGTTGGTAATCACTTGTTCATGATCCTGTAAAAACTGAGAGAACCAGCTCTTGGGAGGCTGAGGCAGGAGGATTGTTGTGGGCTCCATAGCAAGTTCAAGACCACCCTGAACTATATAGCAAGACCCTATCTCAAAACAAAACATCACATCTAGAGAAAAGTCTGAGAAGACATGGAAATCCAGACCTGGGGAAAGATTGGAATGGCTACATAGGTTGCTGCTGACATGGAAATGCAGAGCCAGCAATCTTTGGCTAGAATAGGATTGGAGCAGTTTAGCAAAGAATGAATTAACATTAAGGTTTTGTAAAGGTGTTTTGGACCAATTGAGTGAAGCTACCCATCATACAAATTGGGCCAAAGGTCGTAGGTATGGGGAGGGGTTTAATTAGGGCTGTGGGGGGCTGGGGATTTAGCTCAGTGGCATAAATACCTGCCTTGCAAGCAGGCAGTCGTGAGTTCGATCCCCGGTACCGATAAAAAGAAAAAAAAAATTAGGGCTGTGGTAAACATAAGCACGGGAAAAGTATTTTGTCCCTGAGGTAAGAAAACAATTGAATTGGAATTGCAGTAATATTTGAGGGTAAGATCAACTGAAAATGTATAATAAAATGGCCTTTTATAAGGAGGACAAGGAGAAGGCCCAAGGAATTTTAGACTCCTATATGGGACCCCTGGTTCTGAGCAGTGTCCCTTCCTCTTGAAGCAGTAATATCTCAATTCAGAGTGTGGGAAACTCATGCTGAGAACCAAAGAGCCATGAGAACAAAAATGAGTGGATTTAACCTCTCAGAAGTATTAACTGCGTGAGCTCCTTCCCGTGGAAACCTCGGCTGGTCCATGGAGGATGTGGTGGAAGCACTTCCTCTTCTGCTGGGCAGGGTAGCCTGTGCGCCCAGGGTCCCTGACTGTGCCTTGGACGTTGTCCTTCCTCCCTCCAGCAGGCTCAAGGCACAGGGAGACCGCAGAGACGGTGGGTGGTGGGCAAGGCGGTGGCAGTGTGGCTCTCAGACCTGTCTCTTGCACGGAAGGGAAGGGGCAGGTGCTGGAGACCTGGTGCTGGACTCTGAGGTGTCTGGCCAGGCTCTGGAGCGGGCTTTGGCTCCTGTCTACGGCTGCAGCTTCTCGCCTCACCTGCTGCACTCGCAGCCTCACCAGACGTCCCAGAAGCTGCAGGAAGCGGCCTCGTCTCCCTGAAGAATGCTGAGAAGTCAGTTCCTTTCTACCCAGCACTGGCTCCTGCCGAGGTTGGGATCCCAATATTCCCTTTTTGGATCAGATCGTGGATCTGAGCATCTTGGCTTAGCCCTAATTATCAGGCCTCTTGTCACCGATGCCTGATTAACACGTGGTCTTGGGGTCCTACGCGGGTCGGTGATGGTGTCTAAGGTTAAATTGCTGTCAGCACCGCGGTAGGACCTCACTTCATACCCTCTGGGGTGCCATAATAAAGACAGGTGGCGACTGGTCTTGGCACAAGCTGGATGAATTGGAACCTGATGCAGAGCCACTCGGAATGTAAAATGGTGAAGCCACTGTAGAAAACAGTTTGGCGTTTCCTCAGCAATTAAGGTACATGCCCAAAAGAAAGGGAAACACATCCACATGAAACTTGTGCCATGTTCCTAGCAGCATTATCACAATAGCCTGAAGTGGAAACCACATAAATGGCATCAGCAGCTCGGGTTAAACAGAATGGTAAAGCCACACAAGAGAATATTATTCAGCCAGCAAAAGGAATGCAGTATCGATAGAACCTGAGACAGAGGTGAACACCAAATGTTGCCGCGTGGCATAACTGATGCCATCTTGAGCCCTGCATTTCACTAGTGCCCTGTGTTTGACCCAGGAGAATGGAAAAATTACTCAGGTACAAATCCCATGACAAAAGCAGAATGAGCTGTACCAAAAGGAGAAAAATTAACCTGCTCAACAAAAGAAGCAGGACACAGGTGTCAACCAAAAATTAATGAAAGAGTCTTGCTACATTGTTTCCAACAGAATGTCTTTTTGTGGTTCTCTGTTTCAAAGCTTTGTAATTTTCCAGTTTAAGGTTATTTGGTGAGACTCTAAAACAGGGGGTCCGCTCGAGTAATCATTGAGCTGAGCTAATTCCAAATTTATCAGTTTGGCTGCTTGGATTCCTATGTTGTTTATTAAGCCACTTCATGAGGAGCTCATGGTGCCTGATAGACACCAAGTGTCACATGTTAATGATATGGCTCTGTTTATGTGAAATGTCCAGAATAGGCAGATCCATAGTGAAATTAGGTGATTACAGGTTGGAATGCCTAAAGCTGGGAATTTAACTGGACAGGGATTTCTGATGAAAATGTTCTAAAATTGACTGTGATGGTGGTTATACAACTCAGTGAATATAATAAAAAAACCTCTGGGTTGTATCCTTTAAATGAGTGTTTGCTATACAACTACCAAAAAAATCTACTTGGTAATGTTTAAAAATTTAATTGTAGCATTTTTCTCTTGCATCAGCTTCCTAAATAATCGCTTTTCAGAGGCAGTGGCTGTCTCCATACCAGCGCCAGAAAGGGGTGAGCACCAGGGGCATTTACCTCCTGTCTCCTTCCTTAGATCTGGTGCAGGGAGCGGCTGTGGACTACGGCAGAATCCTTTCCCAGTTCACTCACCACCCGGTGTACATCCTGAGAGGGGGCTACGAGCGCTTCTCAGGCCTGTACCACTTCTTCCGGACCCAGAAGATCATCTGGATGCCCCAGGTGAGACCGAAGGCTGCGCACAAGCTGATTCAGGTGGGAAGCATGGCTGCGGACAAAGAGGTGGCTGAATAGAGGCGGGGACAGAGGATGCAGAGGAAATAGAGGAGACCAGGGCAGCCGGGGACCAGCCGGGAAGTTCAGTTCACAAAGCAAAGGTATCCTAGGGAGAGTTGTGGAGAGGGGCTGTACCCCATGTCAGATGGGCAGGGCCTCTTGGCTCTCTGCCATTGGCTCTCTGGTTCTCCAAATCCTAGCTGCGTCCAGAGGATCCAGAAAAGGGTGAGATAATAGTTCTTGCCCATGGATCGGTCTACAGGAAAGAAAGTGGTTATAACAGGAGTATTGGCCAAGGGACATTCCAGGTCCCTGAAGGCGAGGCAGTTTCGAGAAAGCCCAGGTACTGGCTGCACAGTGGTTTTCGGGCAGGGTTGTGCCTGGAGGGCAGTGGTGTGTGTGTGTGTGTGTGTGTGTGTGTATATACATGTGTGCATGTGTGTGTGTGCTAGTTTGCACTGTACCAATGAGTTCAAAGAGCAGTGGGATATAAGCACAAGGTGTTTTCTAACATTTTCCTTGGGCTGTTGTTTGGTTCCTGCTCATAGCTGTATCTGGGGCGATCCCATATTTCCTGGAAATTTTCATTTATGAAAAATTTCAGTCACTGTGTGGTGATTGAACGAAATGTGATAGAGCAAAGTATAGCTGGGTGCAGTTCTGTTCAGGATTTCTCTCAAAATAATCAAGCGTGGGTTGGGGAGCCAGAAGGATAGAGATGAAATGAAATTGACCATGAGTTTATAATGTTTAAGCTGTCAATGGAAGTATTTCTTACGTTAGTCTTTCTACTTCTGTATACTGTTGAAATTAATTAAAGGAAATTAAAAAAATAATTACCATAAAAACCAGAGCAGTTTAACACATCAGTCTCAAATCTCATCTCTTCCTGTCCCCCAGAGCTGGGTTGCCTTCATTTTGGTGGGGTCGTTGGTATGAGGAGGGGTGTGGCATTGCTTCAGATGTCCCGTAGGAAGGATGCCACTCTGACCCCTCTTCAGCTGCCTTTGATGTCGGGTATCTGGTGTGGGCCTTGTCTCTTGGGTCTGCCTGCGGCTGGGTGGTACGGGGTGCTGTTCACACTGGCTCAGCCGTCTGTTTGGGACACTGCTGCTGGCGCTGCCCATGGCCTCTCCTGCTGGGCTTCTTGGAGCCCTGCTCAGCCTCCCCTGACTCCTTCTGTTGCTGAGGATCTCCTGGAGCGAGCCAGCTAGACCCTTTCCACTTACCCATGGGAGTCCTTATGCGGTCTTCCCAGCACTGGGCAATCCTGACCCCCAACAGGCCGCATTCCCTCTCCTGCATCCTGGATGGTCTGTAGGAAGTATGCCGATGGAGCAGAGTCTCAGAGACCTCCCAGAGTTCCTCCTTGTCCTGCTGGTTATGTGTGATAAGGAAGGTCTTGTGTGTGAAGTCACCTGTTCCTAAATCCAGGGTGCAGGTGCCAAGCTCTCTGAGGTCCTCCTCCTCCTCCTTCCACTAAGAAAGCGGCATTTAAGGCTTCAGTTGGCAGGTATCTAGCCTCCTTGTGGAGAACCCCACTCCCTGCCCGCTAGCTCTGCAGGGTGGAGTGGCATTAATTTCTCTCTGCCAATATTACACTGCTGATAAGTTGTCACCTCCACACCTTATTTAAAGCTCTAGTGAGGTGTGATTGACGTAAGAACTGCGTGCATTTACAGGCAGTGTGGTCAGTTGTGATGTGTGAATGCGTGGCTTTTCCTGTCCTTTGCCCCAGCCACGTGATATGGAAGAGATGGGGCTTGTGGCTGGTAAACAGTCTCAAGATCTGGGTGGGTCTTTCCACTGTGTCTATCTTGAGCACGTAGTATTTAGCATTTGTCCCTCCCTGCTAGGGACCTTTGCCATCAATCCAGGGGCAAAGGTAAAAACTCCACTCCTCTCTGACTACATGTTCTAATACGCTGTAAAGCTGGGGTGTCCCAGCTGCTCACCAAGCAGCTGCTTCCAGAGAGGCAACGCTGGGGCTCTGAGACCCCTCTGTGCGTTAGGTGGGGAAGATTATAATCTCACATGTCTTTTAGGCGGGCTTTCCCTCCACAAGATCTGCCTTTGAGCAGAGGGGCTGTGGCACTGTCCCAGGGCCCCTGCTCCAGGCAGATAACAATGAGTCACCGAGTGGTGCTTAGGGGAGAGCGGCACGGTCAGACTGCACTTGAGGAAGATCAACTTGCGTTGTAGCATGGGGAGCAGATCAGTGGGACCAAGTGGGTTTGGGGGACCCAGCTAGGAGGTGGTGGTGGAGCAGGGAAGACAGGTCTGAGAACTATTTGGGACATGGCATTGACCATACATGATGGGGTGGGAAAGGGAGGAGATTGGAGCTAGGCCCTGGTTTTGGTGGAGGTGACAAGCAGGCAGTTCACTGGGATGGGAAGTCCGGGGGTGAGGAACACTTTTAGGAAAACACAGTCTCAGTTTGGACATGTTTGTTGGAATACCCTTTTGTTTCTATTTTGTCACCTGTCATTGTCAAAGCAGGTGCTTTGAGAAGACACTGTGTCTGTACATGTCACATGTCTGTGCATGTCACACCTTCTTCCCAGCCAAACCTGTGCAACTGCAGAACAGGAAGCTAATTTACAGAACAGGAAGAAAATTGATAGGAAGAAATTGATGTTTGGGCATTTATTGGAATCCCCCTCCCCTCAGTGGGACCATGGAGATTCACGTGGCTCCAGCAAGCTGGGCGCCTGTGGTGGGGTCAGCCCAGGCTCCGCAGTGGGCGTTGGACTTGCCTGCTGGCAGTGGGGTGGCACACTGGGACTTCATCGTGCTTGTATTTAAGTGATTGTCCTGTTGTCACCCCTTCTTTACCCATTCAGTCCCTTTGCTACTAGCACATAGGCTGTATGTGAAGAGTTTTAGTGTGTGTGTGTTCTAAAGTATTTAAATACTGATGTCCTCCATGGTGACAAAAAGACTGTCCTCTCCACCCCACCTCACCCCAACTGGACACATTCTGGATTGCTGAAGGTTTGGGCATAGGGTCCTCGACTCCAACATTTGTGCGCATGGCCAGGTGCAGATGGGGCCAAGGAGGGAAGCAGCTGTCCGCGCTGAGACCCGACCCTGCACCGTCAAGGGTGTTTCGGTCATTCTGCTATGCCTGGCCCTCTCGCTCCTCCTTCAAGTTGTTCTGTCTCAGTTTCTTTGAAAGTCCTGTGCTCATTCGCTGTCCTGGGATTCCTTTTTTTTTTTTTTTTTTTTTTTTTTTTTTTTTTTTTTTAATTTTAAAGGGAATAAAACAGAACAGTAAAATAAAAACAAAACAATAATAGGACAGTAGGAAATACACAATTGTTACTATATTATGTATTGTTATCGTCTAAATAGTTGCCCAGACCACTGGCCCCAGGCCTGCAAAGTCAATCAAGTAACATAAATGTCAGGTTGCTTCCCTCCTTCATTATTATCACCTCAGCTTGTGTTGTGTCAGGTTGCTCTTGTGGGCAGGGTGTTAGGCAGAGGCGGCTTCCTTGCCATTTCTCCCCCGCCGACAGGGCCCTCCGGTGCACAGGGAAGCTGCACAGGGAAGCTTTCCTGATGCTTCTCTCCAGCACCAGCAGGGCCTCCACCAGTGCCCAGGGGGTGGGGGCTGCATTGCTTCCTGCTGCTTCTCCCTGGCTGCCGGCGGGCCTCCGCTGGCCGGCCCACCAGGGATTCCACGTCTAAACTCATTTGCGGAGTCACATTTCAAGAGACAGTGGCTCATAATAGCCCCTTTCCTTCCCCACCCCAGGAACTGGATGCGTTCCAGCCATACCCTATTGAAATATTACCAGGGAGGATCTACCTGGGTGATTTCAGCCAAGCCTGCGACCCTAAAGTCCAGAAAGATTTGAGAATCAATGCACATATCAATGTCTCCATGGAGACCGGGCTTTTGTAAGTAAAAGAGATACTCTTGATTTTTTTCTTTAAAATGAAGGATCATTTCTTTACTCAAGTGTTCTAGTGTCATGCATCTCAAAAGTCAAGATGGTCTTGGCAGTCTGCACACAGTGGAGCAGGTTCAGCACTGATTTTTACCTCTGCCTGGCCAGGCCGTGGTATTGTCTGTCCCTGAGTAGGACTCCCATACTGTCCTCTAAATCTCAGCACAAGTAAAATTTTCCTGGTATTTAATGTTATGATAGAAAGTATCCTGTTCTACTGAGTGATCTGTTTCAAGGTCCCTTAGAAATTCTCCCTTGCCTTAGAATTACGCTCTCTCTCTCTCTCTGTCTCTGTCTCTCTCTCACACGCACACGCACACGCGCACACACATGCACAGCGAGTGTCGTCATAGTTCAGTGGTCAGGAAAGCACTGCACAGCTTACTTTTCAGCCTCTGTATTCTGGGCATGTGAAATGTTGGTCACCAAGACCCAGCCTGTATACTCTGCCCATTCCAGATCCTTGTCAGTTTGTAAGACTCACCTCAGGGGGAACTTCTAGAAACAGCACAAGAATTTGGCAAGGCATCTGGTAATAAAAAATAAATTGGTTTTATGGATATAAAAACAACAAAGAGTGAAAAAGAAAAGATCCAATTTGCAATAGGGAAAAAATGATTCCTAGGAACAAACTTAAGAAATATACAGCGCCTATAAAATTTTATAAGAAGGGAGATTAAAGGTATAAATAATAGGAAAGACGTTTTGGTTAGGAAGCCTAATGTTGTAGAAATGACAATTCTATCAGAATTGACCTGTACAATAAAAAAGACCTCAACTAAAAAACGAGTCACTTGTGTACAAGTATATCATTTATTCTTTTTTTGTTTTTTGAGACAAGGTCTCACATGTAGTTCAGGCAGGACTTGAGCTCACTTAGTAGCCCAGGCTGGTCTAAACTCGCAATGATCCTCCTGCCTCAGCCTCCCGAGTGCTGGGATTACAGGTGTGCGGTTTATTCTTAAAAGCTCACATAAAGGACTAATTTGTGGAAAACGCGAATGAGGTGATTAAGGCCAGTCTTTCAGCAAGAAAATTAGAAGAGCTGGACAAAATATAAAACTTTCTTCTGTGTTATAGATTAGAGACAGACAAAGCAGTGAGGAGTTAGTGACCAAGGCCTGGGAGGAGGAAGAAAGCTAGAGAGACTGGTGCTGCTTCTTCAGGGAGGACGTCTGCTGATTTTGGAAAGAAAGAAAGACCAAGGTAGCAATAATATCTGAGAGAATAGCAGCTGTTTCTAAGATTGACGAGGTATACCAAGCCACAGATTCAAGAAGCCTTACGGACTCCACCTAGGATAATGCTAAATAAATCACCTCTAGGCTCACAGTAAGACTGCTGAAGACTAAAAAGAGAAGGTAGTAAGAGCAGCAGACCAACAAACAAGCAGACAAACATTTTCAAAAGAATAATGTGGACTGACTTAAAATTAGAAAAACAGAGAATGCATGTTTGTGATGCTGGCACAAGGGAATCCTTGCCTCCTGGTATTTATGTTGTTGAGTGTGGGCTGCACGGAAGATGCAACTCTAATGACTACCACAAAGCAAAAAGTGTGATCACTTCTGAGATGAGGGGACTAGTGTGCTGTGAGCTGCCCCATGGAGAGGATCATGCAGCAAGAATCCCAGGGAGAGCATTCGACAACGGCTAGGGGGGGGACTGGGGCTTTCAGCCCAAAGTCACAAGGAACTGAACCCCGCCGATGACCGTGCAAATTAGTGTGAAAGCAGCTTCCCCAGCTGAGCCTTCAGATAAAAACCCTAAATATTGAGAGCTTATTTACTGCATACAATTCTGCATTGTTTCAGGTTTTGTCATATAACCACAAATCCAGTTTGTACAGTTAAAGGTGGCGAATTAGTGGTTACCTCAATGTGTCATTTTCTAGATTGTGTTTATTGCTATTGTTATTACTGATTGTGCTGCTTTAACCAAAGTGATATAATTGTTCTGACCAGTTGTTCTTCCTGGTACATCAAGATTGATATTGCTTAAGAGTCAGAAAAGTATTACAGGCCAGTGCCAAAGACAACAAGCTGAAGAGGTGGGATCTTGCAACAGACTCAGGACCCAGAAGCCAGCTGCACTTGAAAGACACCCCTGAGAAGTAGTCATTTCATAAGGCTTCTAAATGCTAGCAATATACTCGCCACAGACAATTTACAAACATGAACTCAAGAACTAAACAAAAAAAGAAAGAAAGAAAATGAGAAGACGCTTGGACAAGTGCAACCCCAGATGTCTAGCTCACCAAAGCAAACCCAGGAGGCCACAAAGTAGAACAATCAGAAAGCTTTCCCCTGGCATCTCTGACATGGGTTGGTGCAAGTTACAAGACAAATGAACGTGGCTCTAGGAAAAATGACATCAGAAATAATTTCTCAGATAACTACAGAGATGGTGACCATAAAGAAAGACATGCTTAGAGACTCTAGAATAGATAAATTTTTTTTTAAATAAGAGGAGCTTAGGAAAATGATGGAAACCATGAATGCCCAACATAGGAAAGAAATGGAGTCCATCAAACAGAGTCAGGCAGATCTCCAGAAAATTAAAGGAGTCCCCTGGAAGTATATATAGCAGAATGAGCCAATGTGAGGACAAAAATCTCATATATAAAAGACAGGATTGTGGTTAACTACCATGAAAAGAAAGATTTTTTTTTTGTCTTTTTTTATCGGTACTGGAGATCGAACTCATGACCACACACTTGCAAGGCAGGTGCTTATGCCGCTGAGCTAAATCCCCAGCCCCAAAAAGAAAGATTCTTGGGGCTGGGGATTTAGCTCAGCGGCATAAGCACCTGCCTTGCAAGCAGGCAGTCGTGAGTTCGGTCCCCGGTACCGATAAAAATGAAAACGACAAAAAAAAAAAAAAAAAAAACAAAAAGAAAGATTCTTAAAAATAGCAAGGGAACATGAGAAATAAATTCAGCAACTTCTAGATCATGCAAAAAGAATAAGATTGATCGAGGTCATTGAAAAAGCAGGAGATGGCACAAATGATATAAAAAAGCCTAGTCACAGACGTCATGGCAGAAACCTTCCCTGACAAGGAAAAAGAATTTGACATATAGATAAATGAGGCATACAGAACTCAAGATACAAATAATAGTAGTAAAAGCTACAGAAAGGCATATAATAGTCACGATTCCAGAAATTCAACACAAGAACAGAGTATTAAAAGCTGTTTGAGAAAAGAAACAATCACCTATAAAGGAAAGCCCATCAAAATCACAACAGATTACTTAATACAAACTCTCAAATCAAGGAGATCTTGGAGTGAAGTATTTCAAGCCCTAAAAGAAAATAACCTCCAACCCAGGTTGATGTATCCCACAAAACTATCTTTCAAAATTAGTGGAGAAATAAGATACTTCCATGACAAAGAACACCTGAGAAAATTCATGACCATCAAAGTAGCACTCCAAAATGTTCTGAAGGACGTTCTAGAAAAGAATGATAACTTCTTAAACCCCAACATAATGAATTCACCAAGGCAAGCAAACAGAGGGAACAAAAAGAGAGCCAATAACAGGAAAATAACATGACAAGGATAAGTCAGTGCATACCAAATATAATCAATGCTAATGGTCTCAATTCACCAATCAAAAGAAAATGACTGGCAGAATGGATCAAGAAGCAAGGTTTGGCTGTGTGTGACGGGGCATTCCTGTAATCCCAGAGCTTAGGAGGTTGAGACAGAAGGATTGCTGCAAGTTGAAAGCCAACCTGGGGTACATATTGAGCTCAAGGGGAGCCTGAACTGCATAGTGAGGGCCTGTCTCAAAGAAAGAAAAAAGCAAGATGCAATAATATTCTACATACAAGAAATAGATTTAATTAAAAAAATTATAGACTGAAAGTCAAAGGACAGAAAACAATACTTCACGTGTCGGATGCAGAAAAAGCAGGGGTAGCTATTTTATTTGCAGACAAAGTAGATTGTAAGACAGACAAAGAAGGTCACTACATCTTTATAAAGGGAGCAATCCAAGAGGAAGAGACAACAATCATGAATATATATGCACCAAATGCCAGTGCATCCAACTATATAAAACATATATTCATGAACATGAAAAATCAAATAAGCACTAACACAATTCTAATGGGGGGCACCAATACTCCACTGCCACAAATAGATTAACTAAACAAAAAACTCAACAACAAAATATTAGAACTTGGCCAACTTTTGAACAAATGAATTTAGTACATGTCCACAAAGCATTTCACCCACAATGTCAGAATATACATTTTTCTCAGCTGCATGTGGGGCATTCTCTAAATTAGACCACATACTGTCTCATAGAACATGTTTAAGTAAATGCAAAGGAATTAAAATTATTCAGTGCATATTATCATGTCATCATGCAATGAAATTGTAAATTAATGGCAAAAGCAACCACAAAAACTTCATAAGCACATGAAATTAAGTAACACCCTCCTAAAAAACCAATAAGTCACAGGTGAAATTAAAGAAATTAGGTTCTACAATTATATGATCTTGCCAATACAATGTGTTGGAACTTATGAGACACAATGAAAGCAGTCCTTTGAGGGAAACCTTTAACAGTGAACACTCATATCAGGAAAATAGCAATCTCAAATAAACAACTTAAAGTTGAGCCTCAATCTTCTAGATAAAGAAGAGCAAATCAAGCCAAAATTCATACAAGGAAGACAATTATAAAGATCAGAGCAGAAATTAATGTAATGGAGACTAAGAAAACAATACAAAGAATAAATGAATCAAAAAGTTGATTCTATGAAACATTAAACAGAATTGACAAAACCTTCACCATTATCAAAAATCCATGCAGTTAGGAATGAAAAGGGTGAAATCAGAAACAGAATCCACAGAAATCCATAATATCATCTATAGTAGTCAACTTTGCAAACTTGTATTCAAATAAGATGAAAAATACAAAAGAAATGGATAGATTCCTAGATATATATAAATTATCAAAGCTGAATCAAGAAAATATAAAAATGCTAAATAAACCAATATCAGTCAGTGAAATTGAAGATGTAATTTAAAACCTACTAACAAAGAGAAGCCTAGGTCTTAACGAATTCATTGCTGAATTCTGGAAGAAATTCAGAAAAGACCTAATACTGCTACTTCTCAAACTCTTTAATAAGATTGGGAAGCAGTACTACCAAATTCATTCCTGGAAGCAAGCATTAATCTGATATATCAGAGAGGGATCCAACCAAGAAAGAGAACTACAGACCAATCTCCCTAATGAACGTAGATACAAAAATCTTCGATAAGATACTGGAAAACAGAATGCCGCAAATCATCAAGAAGATTATACACCATGACCAAGTAGGATACATCTCAGGGAGTTCAATATGTGCAAATTAATACATATAGTACATAATATCAACAGCGCCAAGGTCAAAACCATATGCTTATCTCAAAGATACAGAAAAAGCATTTGCAAAGTCCAACACTCATTCATGATTAAAAAAAAAAAAACCCTACAGAAAATTGGAATAGATGGTCTTTAGTTCAAGACAAACCATCTATAACAGACAAACAGCCAACATCATATTACATGGGCAAAAACTGAAAGTTTTTTCTCTAAAATCAGGAATAAGAAAAAGATGTCCACTCTTACCTGTATCATTCAATATATTTCTGGAAACATTAGCCAGAGCAATTAGACAAGAGAAAAAAAAAAGGGTAGGAAAAGAAGAAATTAAATTATCATTATTTGTGGATAACGTAATCCAAAAACACCACCAAAAGACTTCTAGATTTAATAACCAAATTCAGTCGTGTAGCTGGATACAATGTCAATATGGAAGCAAAGGTTGTGTAAATAAGCGGGGGAAGAGAGGTTGAAGGGAGGGTAGGGGGATGGGAAAAGAATCAAGTTATAGTGTGTGTAGGTACAAATTCCCTATAACGAATGTGATTATTATGTATACCTAAATGTATTAATAAATTTAATTAATTAAAACATTTTTAGCATGCAAGAACTAAGTGAATTCATCAGTGACCAACTTATGCTACAAAAAATGTCACATAGGGGCTGGGGATTTAGCTCAGCGGCATAAGTACCTGCCTTGCAAGCAGGCGGTCCTAGTTCAATCCCTGGTACCGATAAAAAATGAAAAACACACACAAAAAATGTCACATTAAATCCTTTGGGCAGAAAGAAAATAATACCAGGTGGAAATATGAACCCTTACAAAAAGAACAATTATTTTCAGCAGTAATAATTATATGAATAAGAATAAAATACTTTCTCCCTGTTTTTAAATCCTTTCAAGCTGGTTGTAGTGGCTCATGCCTGTAATTCCAGCACTTGGGAGACTGAGGCAGGAGGATCCCCACAAGTTTGAGGCCAGCTTGGGCTACCTAGTGAGTTCAAGGCCAACCTGAACTACATAACATATCCTGATTAAAAAAAAATTCCTTCATAAGGATAATTAACTGCTTAAATAAAAACAATAACAACGTATTTGGGGTTATAGTAGGAGTAATATTCAGCCCACACAGGCAGGAAGAAGAGAACTAAAAGCATGTACTTCTAAGGTTCTTGTAAAATTTACAAGAAGTGGTTTATATTACTTGAAGGCATACCATCATGGTAAGATATATTCTGTAAACTGAAATGCAAGTGCTGAAAAATAAAACTCAAAAATATATAGTATATAAAACAACAAGAAAGGTAAAATGGAACTATAACAAGTAATTCAAAAAGCGTAAGATGAGGATTTAAGGAGAAAACAAAAGGTGAGATCAGTAGAAAGCAAATAGCAAGATGATAGATTTCAACTCACATCAGCAATCCCAATAAATATAGTCTAAATGCCCCAGTTAAAAAGTAGAGGTGATATGCTGCCTAAAAGAATATTCTTGAAATATAAAGATAAACCAGATGTGGTGGCACATGACTATAATCCTAGCATGCAGAAAGCTGAGACAGGATAGAGGATAAGACCACAAATTCAAGACCACCCTAGGCTACACAGGGACTTCAAGACCAGCCTGAATTATGCAGTAATACCCTTTCTCAAACGAACAAACAAACATAAAAATAGGTCACAATAGTGAAAAGATATGTAGGCATAGTGATGTATGTGTCTGTAGTCTCACCTACTCAGGAGGCTGAAGCAGGAAGGTTGCTTGAGCTTACTGACTTGAGACCAGCCTGGGTAGAATAATGAAACCCCCTCTAATAAAAAAAAAAAAGGTAAAACAATGGAACAAAATATTCCAGGATAGGCCGGGGAGAAGAACAAGAAGTCGGCAGGAAGCTAAGACCACCTGTGAGTCGGCACCATGTGTGGGCTGACTGTGGGAGAGCCAGCCACCTATGGGGGGACACCAAACACAAACTGTAACATGGATCCTGGGGAGAGGCAGTGAGGAAGGATGGTGAAGGAAGGATCTCAGTGAGTGCTCATGGGGAACTGACCCAGCTGCCTGCCACCATGCTCTGCCCCCGAATGTCTCGGGCCTTCACACAAGCCATTTATTGAGTATTCACTGCGGGCTGGGCATTGTGCTGAGCTCCTGGCAGGTGGCCGCATGCCCTTGGGCCTCTTCTCTCTCCATTTGTGCTAGAAGCTCTGGCAACTCTGATCTCCCTGCTGTTTTTCAGATCTATTAACCACTGCCTCCAGGGCCTTTGCTCTTGCCTTCTGTTACCTGGAACTGTCCTTAGACACCTGCTTGTCTTGTCCCCTCACCTCTGCCTCTGGTGCTCTAGGGTCGCCTCACTAAAGCGTCCCACAGCCCCTGTACCTGCAGCATCCAGCACAACATCTGTGTCCCTCTCATTTTGCTCTCTGCACTTGACACAGCAGGCTCGGTCTCCAAGGCCAGCAGCTATGCTTTCCCATCCGCATTTAATGAGTTTCGCACCCTGCTTGAGGGACACACCATGCTTTTGGTTAATAATGACAGTGTCACATTTACTGGGCCCCTCTTATGTGCTACCCGGGTTGGTAATGCCTTCCACAGATGAACCCACTTGGTCCACCTCACACTGCTTTCTCTGGGGGAAGCTCAGTTGCTTCCATCTCCCAGATACCTTCCCCGGTCCTTCACCTGTGGTCCTGCAGTGTAGATGGGCAACACTACCGTGGGGCTGTCAGTAAGTTACCTGTGTTCTTCTGCTTAGCTTCTTGGATGACCCTGACAGGCTTCTGCACATCAAGATAGAAGATTCCTCAGAATCCAAGATTTTGCCCTTTTTACGCCACATCTGTCACTTCATCGGTAAGGAGTGTTCCCTAACAGGAGGGTGACTTGCCTGTGCCCAGGAGGGAGAGGGCTGGGGCGCCTCCTCCTTAGGCCTGTTCCTGGTTGTGACCCCCAGGGCTCAGGTCAGGGAAGACTGGCTCCACCCTGGCCAGTATGGATGAGCCCCAAGTAAAGCAAGCAGCCGTGGTGGCATTTCCTGGGGGGCAGTGGGGTTCTGTGACAGCATCAGATGGTGGGCTGAGCGCCCTGTGTTCTGGCCTTGGCTACACTGCCACGCCTTTTTGGTTGTGGATGTGTGCATCCTGCACCCAGCCCTGGTCAGCCCTGTGGATGGGGAAGGATGCCTCCATGGCCTTCCCAATCCTGACTTCCACAACTGTCTGTGTGTGCACTTTGTCCCTCCCTGTTCTCCACTGCCCCCGAGCGATGTCCACCCGCAGCTTAACTCACCCAGAGCTTAGCCCACCAGGTCTGGGGTTTGTCTGGGGGGAGAGCAAGATCCCTGGGAGAGCAAGGCGGAGTCAGAACAGAGGCCCGCCCCTGCTCCAGCCTGGCACCAACATGGCCTGAGTGGCTGCATGAGCAACCAGGAATGGCACTGCAGTTCACTGTCCCTTACTTGCCCAGAAAACCACCACTGTCACTTGAGTAGGACCCAAGTCTCAGCTTTCTGCGTGCCCTGCCATGCGACGACACAGCCTTGTAGCGTGGAGAGGCCTCTCCTTAGCCTCACCTCACTGGGCAGCTCTAGGCCAGCACTTCACGGGTTGAGGCTCAGTTCTCTCATCTGTGCCTCGAGGGGGTTGACCTTAAGCAGTCTAGGTCCTCTTCCAGCTTGGACAGTCTGGTTTTTTGCACTCGGTAGTTTATCCTCAGTTCCTGGGGGTTCTGGGTCAGCCTAGGAAAGACACACAGCCTTGGGGATTAGAGGGTTATAGCTGATATTTCTATGCCAGGCACTGTGCTAAGCACAGAATAGAATGAGACTGTGGGGGAGGAACGCATATGCTGTTAACCCACTTTCTGGATGAGGAAACTGTGGTTCAGAAGAACTTGCCCATATCCAGCCTGCACTCCCTCTGCTGGTGCCGGTTGTCCTTGAATGGTGGTCCTGTCATCCTTAGGCAGCTAGTGGCAGAGCTCCCTAGGTAAGAAGCCTGGAAAGCTGGGGAAAGTCCTTGGCCTGATAAAGCTGGTGCCCATCGCAGGACTCTCTGGAGCTGCCAGTCAGTCTGAGGACCCCCCCCCCCCCCGCTAGCAGCCATGTGACTCACCCAGGTCCCGGCCTGCTTGTTACAAACTCACTTGTGGGCCACAGGCCCACTGCGACCAATGTTCTGACAGCCACCAAGGACCACAGGGACAAGGGCTGTGGACCATGCCACCCCTTCCTCCCTTCTACAGAAATTCACCTCTACCTGGGCTCTGTCATTTTGATCTTTTCTACACGGGGCATCAGTCGTAGCTGTGCAGCCACAATGGCCTTCCTCATGCACAGGAATCAGGAGACCCTGAAGGTATGTGTCCTCTGGGCTTGGGCTACAGCCACCCCCAGGGGGTGGAGTCAGTGCTGGAACTCCAAGGGACAGGAGCCCCTTGGAGTTTTCCCTGGGGCCCTGGCAGGAGTGGGGAAGGATGAGAGAGGGGAGTCCAAATGTAGGGTGATCCCAGAACCTGGCATCCAAGGGCAAAGTTCCAGTGCTACCGGCTGGAAGGCTGAGGCTGGATCCACAGGGCTGGCTGGGACAGGCCGAGGCCGGAGTGTGTTGGTTTGGCTCCACTACTGTCTCTGTGTCCACTAGCTTTGCCTGGGAGTTTCTCAAGGTCACAGAACTGCAGTGCTGGCAGGGTGTCCCCACCAGCAACGTTCCTTTGCCATGACAGCAGGGACCAGACAGGGAAGGGAAGAGCGGAGCCATCCTGGCAACCCCAGGGAGAACCTGGGGCTCCTGATTCCCAAGCAGTGCTTTCTCAGGGGCCTGCTGATGGTCTTAGCTCAGCCTTCCTCCTCCTAGGCCACAGACTGATCGTGCTCCATGGCCTGCTAGGAAATGGGCCACGGCACGAGGTGAGCGGTGGGTGAAGGGCAAAGCGGCATTTGTGTTTCCAGCCACCCTCATCTCCCACGAGACTGCCTGAGCTCCATTCCCTGTCATATGAGCAGCTGCTTTCGATTCTCACAGGAGCGTGAACCCTACTGAGTGTGAACCTACTACGAACTGTGCAGGTGCAGGATTAGGGTGCAGACTCCCACCCCAGCTTCCATAGGTACAAAAAATTGTCTTCCATGAGATCAGTCTCTGATGGCAAAAAGTTGGGGACCACTGTCCAGAAGACTTGGCTGACATCTGATAAGCTGCTACATTTGCCAAGGAGCATGTTTAAGGGGAGAGGAAAGGAGGGACAAAGAATAACCCTACTCAGAGCTTACTGGCCAATGTTTTGGGGATGCTGCCTGTGCCCCAGAGAAGTGGCAGCAAGCACTCAGACAGGCGTTTGCGCACTCGGGTTCATGGCAGCAATATTTACCACGGCTGAGAGGTGGCAACAGCCCAGTGACCACTGACAGGTACTGAAAATGTGCTGTATCCACTCAGTGAAATAGTACTCACCCTCAGAAAGGAAGGCCATTCCTCATGGTACACACGCCCGTAACCCAGGGCACGGGCCGCTTGCTGGGGCTGGTAGGTCAAGAGCCGAGGGAGAACTCTTGTCCCACTTGGCTCCTCTAAGTTTTCAGCAGGGTAGTGGGGTTCGTGCAGGCCCAGTGCCAGGACACTCAGGGATCCTGCAGGGAGATGCACAGCCCTCCTCTCTGGTCTTGGGCAAGTGGTCAGTGGTCAGATGGGCTCAGAGGCCTCTGACGTCTAGATGACCCTGCTCTCAGGAAAAGCCCTGGCACTCCCTCCCTGGAGCAGCAGTCTTGCTATTATCTGTACTTCATCTGGATAACCCTTGGCTAAGAAACTGCATGGCCCACAGAGCTGTGTCAGGAGGGACTGCCCGTATGGCCCAAATGGAGCACAGCTTCTCCTGCTACCAGATGGTACCCAGGATCACTGGCACAGGTTGGCCCAGGCTGTCCTGGGAGAAGTTCTTCCCTCCCATTGTCTGTGTGTATAGGAGTGCTGGGAGCAGGGGTGCACAGCTCAGCTCAAAGCCCTTGAGATTTGCAAACAAGGAAGTGGGCTGCTCATGGGCCAGAGGCACCAACTACTGGGGCCCAGCTTGGCTTCTCAGGTGCTAAGGCCACGGTGTGGGGGTCAGGGAGTGACGTGGCAAGAACCTGGTGTCCAGAATCTCTGGTTTCAGGGCTACCTATGAGTTGAGGTTTGTTTTGTTTTGTTGTTTATTTCTACTCGAAATTGAATTCAGGACCTTGCACTTGCCAGGCAGGCATTTATGCCACTGAGCTAAATCCCCAGCCCTATGGCTTGAGTTTTCAAAGCTTTTGTGCAAGGTTGTGTGGAATGATCCCAGAGCCAGCATGCTTTTAGGAAGAAACTGAACTCAGTGCCTTTAGGCTGCTGGGAGTAACTTTGTCTCTTAAAGATCTCTGGGTGGGGTGGGGACACTGGAAGGATTATAAAAGCCAATGGTGGCAGAGTGCTTTTAATTCTTGATGTGAAATAAAAACTCATTCGAAGGGTGCTGCTAGTATCCCCACTTTGCAGGGCACATAGAAAGACTGGGTGACTTGTCAGAAGTTGCAGCTCTGTGAATGTTAGAGCTCACGGCCCAGCTCCGGGATTCAGTGCCAGTGAGTGATGCGTGCGCTGGCAGTGGACGATAGGGTTTGTGGGTCGTCTTCTTCTTCTTCTTCTTTTTTTTTTTCGGTACTGGGTATCAAACTCAAGACCTTGCACTTCCCAGGCAGACGCTTATGCCACTGAACTAAATCTCCGGCCCTTTGTGTATCTTCTTAAGGACCTGTTCTGACCCAGCCAGTGCTGCACAGCTATGCCCCCTGGCACCACTTTAAAAAAAGCAAACCAATTGTGGTAACACACACATACAGTTTACCATCTTAACCATCGTACAGTATGTGCTTCAGTCCGGGTAGGTACACTCAGGTTGTGCAATCAGTCTAAACTTTCACATCTTGCAACACTGAAACTCTATACCCTCCATCCCTCCCTCCCCCAGCTCCTGGAAACCACTATTTCCTGTCTCTGTAAATTTTGTCTACTCCAGGTACTTTATGTAATTTCCTTCCTTTTGAAAGTATATTTCATTACGTGTAAAATCCATCAGTAAGCCCTTCTGGGCCAAGTGTTTTCCGTTTTTGAAGGTTATGATAATCAGTTAATTAATTAATTTGTAGTATGGGGATAGAACCTAGGGCCTTAGTGCTGAGCTACATTCCCAGCCTTGTTAATGTTTTTATTTTGAAACAAGGCCTTGATAACTTGCCCAGGCTGGCCTCAAACTTTTAATCCTCCTGCCTCAACCTCCCAGAGTCACCGAGTCTGGATGAGGGATATTACTGATTTTGTTTCTTGAGTGTGTTTGGGAAGATGGTTGTTTTCAATAAATTGGTCATTTATATTTGTGGATATAGAGCTGTTGAATATATTCTTTTATTGTCCTTTTAATGTCCATAGAACCTGTAGTGATATCCTTTTTATTTTTTGATATTAACAGTTTATAACTTTTTTCCTTAGCCTACATGAAGTGTCATTGATTCTGTTGATCTTTTCAAAGAAATATCGTTTTGTTACTGATTTCCTGTCTTCAGTTTGATTCTTTTACAAGTGCATAGCTAGTTTCCCACCACCTTTTATTAAAAAGACTTTCTCCTTTTGAGTGGTTTTATTCTAGATGCAGTGGCACATGCCTATAACCCCAGCTCTTTGGGAAGTTGAGGCAAAAGGATTGAAATTTCAAGGCCAGGTTTGAGCAACTTAATGAGACTCCGTTTCAGAATGTGAAGGGCAATGGAGGTAGCCTAGCAGTGGAATAACAACCTGGCATGCACAAGGTCCTGGGCTCAAGCCTCTAGTACCGCCCAAGCCAAATAGCAGGATCAGGTGGCCGTGCTTGTGGGGTTTATTTCGGCACTGTGTCTTTGTATCTATTGGTCTGTTTGATTCACGTTCAGCACTACACTGGGTTACCGTAGCTTTGTCACAAGGTTTTAAATCAAGAACTGTAAGACTTCCAACTTTGTTCTTTTTACAAGTTTTTTTTTCTTTTTCTATTTGGAGCATTTTAGGATAGATTTTTTCTTTTTTAATTGTGATAAAACCCACATAAAATAACTCAGGCTAATTTAGCTCCTTCAGGGAGTAGAATCCCCACAATGTTACTTCCATTCACACTGTTGCCTGACCGTCACCGCTGGCTGTTTCCAAACCCTTTTCATTACGCAGAACAGAAGCTCTGTCCACTCAGCCTAACTCCCACTTGCCCTTCCCCGGCCCTGGTAACCTCCACCCTACTTTCTGTCTGTGTGTCTGGCTGGCGGAGCCCAGCGCTGCCCAGGGCTGCCCACATTGTGGCCCGTCAGGCTCTGTGGCGCCTGATCAGCGTGCAGCGGTGCTCCGTTCGCCCTAAGGTGGCCCTTTCCACTCCTGCTGAGTCGGCAGTAATGCTAGGGTGGATTTTTGTTCCTAAAAAAAGATGCCACCTGGGGTTCTGATAGGACTTGCCTTAGATCTGTAGGTTACTGGGAAAGTGTCAACATCTTTACAGTGTCAGACCTGCCCATCGATGGCATGTGATGCGTTTTCATTTACTTTCAGCAACATTTTGTAGCTTTCTGCGTGTAACTTTTTTTTTTTTACCTCCTTGGCTTTACTTTTTAAAATTTGATTTGAAATGGAATTACTTTCTCTGGGTTATTTTTAATACATAGAAATGCAACCGAGACTTCTGTGCTGATTTTATTATAACTTGGCTCGATTTTATTAGCTCTGGTCTGTGTGTGGATTCTTTAGCATTTTCCACCTAGGAGACCATGTCATCTACAAACAGAGGTGATTTTACATCTTCCCCTCCAATCCAGATGGCGTTTGTTTATTTTTCATGCCTAGTTGCCCTAGGGAGGCCCTCCAGTACCATGGGCATAGACGTGGTGAAGCCGCCGCCCTTGTCTTGTTCCTGGTCCTATCTCTCCCCACTGAGTGTAATGTTGGCGATGGGCTTTTCCTACGTGGTCTTTATAGCTGAGGAACTGATCCTGGTTTGCTAAGGTGCCTTTGGCCTTTCTTTTTCCTCTGTCTTCAGTCCAAGTGTAGATAAGCTGCACACCTGCCTCAGGTAAAAACCCTTCCTGCGCTTGGGGAGCATGCCTGAAGGAAGGCAGCTCTCATTTTTGTCTTCAGAGAATTTGCCCAGTTCTCTTCCTCTTTCCAGGAATTCATTTAGGCACAATGCAAACTTTTGTTGAAGCCCTACTCTGTGTGCCAGGCCTGAGCGGTCCTTTCCTGTCCACAGGAGGTTTTCCATAGGTTTTTGCAATGATTTTTCCTCCCTCCCTCCTTCCCTCCCTTCCTTCTCTCTGTTCCCACCTCCCTTCCTTTTTCTTTCCTGGAACATGGGATTGAACCCAGACGTTCAGCTTGTACCACACTGCCAGCCCTTTTCTGTATTTTTAATTTCGAGATAGGGTCTTGCTAGGTTACCCACTTTGGGCTCAAACTGTGGGTCCCCCTATCTCAGCCTCCCAGAGTACGAGATAATTGTGTGCCACCATGCTTGGCTTATCCCAATTTTCTTGGGAGCTGTGTGGAACACAGCTCTCTGTCCCTGTTTAGAAGCAGGGATGCAGAGGGGCTTGCCCAAGGTAGAAACTCCTGCCCTAATGAATTCACCCGAGACTGCTGCTGTTTATATATGTAGCTCTGATTCCGCGTTGTAGGCTCCTGGGTAAGTGCCTCCCACCCCTCCTGAGCCGGATCTGCTCTAGGGTGGAAAGTGCCTACAGCCAGTCCCGGTGTCTCCTTTGTCTCCTTGCTCTCACAGAAGGCTTGGGCCTATGTCAAGAAATGCAAAAACAACATGCGTCCAAATTGGGGCTTGGTGACTCAGCTGTTGGAATGGGAGAAGATTGTCCTTGGAGACATCATCACAGACATCTCGGATCCACTCTACTAACCTCTGCAGCCCCACAGTGGCACTGAAGAGCCTTTCCTGGGGTGTCTGGAGGGTAGTGGGCCAGAGTGTATACCCAGATTGATCTGGAAGAAGAAGGCCTTGGGTGCCACGAGCCTCCTGTTCTTCCCGTGTGGTTTTTTCTAGGCCTCTTGTTCATCTGACACAGCAGGTGCACCTGCTCGGGCTCCTCTACAACATCCCAGACCACCTCTGGGACCAACTCTGATCGCTGGAGTGGCTCCCCCACACCCCATTCTTCAGACCCTATGGTGGTTCATAAGGAATGTCACAGTGCTTACCCATGGGCAGAAGTCCCCACAGCTCCTGGAACGAAACCCCTTTCCTGTTGAAAGACCCAGCTCTCTGACTCTGTGCCCCTTGGTCACCTGGAAGAGATTTCTTTTCTTTGCCTCCCCTAACTACCTCTTTGCTACCTGGCCCTGTTGACCAAAGGGAGATCCCATCTTTCCCAGCCCCCACACCCAGGTTTCTAGAAAATTCCTCAGGTTTTCAAATGTACTTCCCTTGAGCTGGCAGCACTCACAGAACACCTTGGGCATCAGAACAGACAAGGGGAGGGGTGGGCAGTTTAGAATGTCCCCAGTATGGGGGCTTCCCAAAATTCATTCAGTGACCGTGTCCTGCCATCACCTGGGGGAGGTTGGGACATGCTGAGCCTAGAATTTTGAGGAGGGATAGAGAGGTGCATGTAAGGAGTGCCCCATCAGAAGGGCAAACCTTCAAGGAGGTGAAGCATTTTACACGCAGTAATAAGAGCTTTTCAGGCAGCGCTGGAGCGGATCAGAGCCTGGGATGGCTGCAGAGAAGGGCTTAGTATGGTCAGCGGCTTTCTGCTAGGCCAGGCAGAGCCCGTGGGAAGTCTCAAGCAGGGGCGTAGTGCGACATCAGTGTTGTGTCTTAGTAAAGGCAGTCTGGTGGCCATGTGAGGGACAGTAGAGGTGAGCCAGGAGGCAGGAAAACCAGTAAGGAGATGGCTGTAAACCCCAGCTATGGGAGAGGTTTGGACCCCCCCCCCCCAAAGAAGATTGCTCCTCAGAAATAGAAAACAGTGAGGGTAGGTGTCACCTCCCTGGCTTTGGTTTGCTTCCAGCACAGCGGGCTGGGTCACTGCGCCACGTGGTCTGCTGGCCAGCTCGGGGGCTGCAGCCTCGCTCCGCCAGGGATCTCAGGATGAGGTGTCCAAGGCTCACATGGCCCCGCCCCCGCCCCGCCCTGGGTTCTAATTGGCTCTGGCGGGGGGCGGGGCCAGCGCGCGGCCCGCGCCAGGCCCTTTCCAGTTGGCGGCGGCGGCGGCGGCGGCTCGAGCCCGGAAGCCGAAGGGGGAGACGGAGGCGGCAGCGGCAGTGGCGCCTCAGGGCGGCCGGGTGTGCGGCGCGTCCTCTACTCGCGGCCCCCTCGGCCCGCGGCGCAGCAGCCATGCAGCCCCCGCCCCCGGGCCCGCTGGGCGACTGTGTGCGGGACTGGGAGGATCTGCAGCGGGACTTCCAGACCATCCAGGTGAGCCCCCCAGCGCTCACCCTTTGGGCCCGAGCCGCGACGTCTCTTTGGTCCGGGCCCAAGGGTATGGCAGTCCGAGGTCAGGCTGGGGGCCGTCGGGGTCAGGGGTCGGGGTCCTGGGTCCCGGTGTCCAGGCGGCAGACCTGTCTGTGCGTCCGCTGCGACCCCGCTGGGACCCGCGCTGTGCCGGCGACCTCAACCACTCGGCCTCAGAAGCCGGGATCCCGCGGGCTCCTTCGCTGTCTGCACCCCAAACCTGGCCAGGGGCTCATCCCAGACCGCTTTCCGGCCCGCTCTCAGGAGAGCCGCTGCCCGGGCCCAGGGCCTTGGTCAATCAATCACTCCGCAATTACGCGTCCCCACTCTCGGGCCGCGCCTGGCTGAGCGCTGGAAAGCGGGATTCAGCGAAGTCTGTGGGCCCGATGGGGAGCCAGGCCTTCCCCTGAGAGTCAGCATCTACTCTGCCTGGAGAAAGGGGGCTTGACAGGTCCAGGATGCTGCTTTCAGGAGAGGAGTGCGGCCTGGGCCAGATTGAAATGTCGCTGAGGCCGTTGGGAAGCTGTGGGTCTCCTTATCTCCGTGCGGTTTGTATGTGGTTGTCCTAAGCCAAAAGGGAGGAAGCTGCTGGCTTCCTCCAGGAAAAAGGTGGTGGCAGTGTTTGCAAAGAGATGACACCTGCTGCATGCCAGGATCTGAAGAGGTGTGGTGGCCCCTGGCCTTGATGAAAAAAAAAAGAAAGACCTAGAGTGGATCCCGTGCAAGGGGGAGACTTGGTTAGACATTTGCCTCTCCTAGTCTGGTCCAGCCCGTTCCTGTTTCCATGGCTGCTCCCTGGCCAGCCAGCTGCCATTTGTGCTTCTCCCCAGTCTCCTGCCTGGCCAGAGTCTCCTAGCCTGGATGCCACTTAGTGCTGGTTTGGGCCCCCTTCCTTGATTTTGCCGCACTGTCCCATCAGGTCAGTGTCTCTTTGAGGTTCATCTATCAGTGCAGAGTGCTCAAGGAAACCTCAGGCCAAAGGTGCTGGGGGAGGAAAGGGGAGGGGCCTTAAGGCAGGAGGTACTGGACTGAAGCCTGATGACCTTTCACCTGGGAAGAATTCTCAGGAAGGCTGAGCAGAAGGCCCCTGTGGGTAAGCCAGGTTCCTGGTACTTGGTGCCTTGGAGAACTGAGAGGACAAGTGTGCCTTCAGACAGCTGGTCCCCAAGGTGGACCCACGGGCTTAGCACTCAGACTTGGACAAGGTAAAGAGCCTGTGTAGGCTGCTGTATAGGCTGGGCCTAAGCAACCTTCACAGGACTCAGCAATGGTGAGCAGAGCCACAGGGACCTCAGCACTCATGGAAGACTTTGAGCACCTCTCCTACCTTGTGGGGAGAGCAGCCTCAGGGAGGGCCCTGGGAGGCACAGCAAGGCCTCCTCCTAGAGCTCACGCCGCACCAGTAGCTGCTCCCCAGCTAGCCTGAGCCTTCTCTGTGTGCCCCAGGATACCCACCGTTTGTACCGCCTGAAGCTAGAGGAGCTGACCAAGCTGCAGACAAACTGCACCAGTTCCATTGCACGGCAGAAGAAGCGGCTCCAGGAGCTGGCAACCGTCCTGAAGAAGTTAGGCGTCCTCCGCTGGGTGTGGGGTGGGAAGCAGCACTGCCTCAGGGGTGACCTGGCATGGCCTCTCCCAATCTCCAGGCCTCCTGTGCCCTTGTTTGCCATGACACCTGCTGACCCAATTGCCCTGACTTGCAGATGCAAAGCCTCTCTCCCAGCAGAGGCCACCATGGCTGCGCAAGAGCTGGAGAACCAAATGAAGGAGCGGCAAGGCCTCTTCTTTGACATGGAGGCCTACTTGCCCAAGAAGAATGGGTGAGCTTCGCCCCAGCTCTAGTCACAGCCCCCTGGGGAACGGTTCTGAAGCTGCTGCTTCTGCTTCTAGGTCATGGCCTGAGCAATCAGGTGCAGTCCTAACTTTGGGAGACAGCTTACTATGGGGAACCTGGGTGGGAGTGTAGGGAGCATTGCAGGTGGTGCACTGATGGTCACCTGACGCAACCCAGGAGTCACAGAAAGCTTCTAGGGGCTGCTGAGCCATGGTCTGGATAGAGCGAGCAGACACTGTGGGAAAAGACATAACAGTGTGTGACTACACAGGTGCTGGTGGGAGGTGAGAAGGGGCGATGAGACCAGAGGGGTCTCGGAGCTTTCGGTCAGACCGCAGGCAGCTGGGAAAGCCAGCTGCCCTCCCAAAAGGATCCACAGGGGCAATGCACAACTTAAGCTGAACAGAACTCCCGAAAGGAGCTTGCATCATTTCTGGAAGGCAAAGAAGAAAGGAGGCTCAGATGACCCAGCTGGGCTTGGTGTAGCAGAGGCGGGGTCACTTCCCCATGTGAGGGAACATTAGAGGACCATTGAGGGGAAGCAGGTATTGGGATCGATGGAGGAGCTGAGAGGACACAGCCAATTCTGTGCAGCTCTTTAGAAGCTGGGTGTGCATGGGAAGAGAGAAGGTACTAGAAAGTAGTCATCAGAAGTTACTACTGGATAGGGCAGCTTTTGCTGGGTCTGTGTTGACTTGCAAGTAGAAAGACTGGGAGGAGGGATGAGGTTGGGGTGCAGATATTTTTCCAGTGCACGAAGCAGAGGCTCAGAGAGACTCAGAGATGGGGAGGACAGAGTGCACAGTGCAGGGACAGGGTTGGGGGCTTCCCATGAGGAAGAGGTCCTTGTGCAGGCAAAAAGCAGGCTGAGCGTGTGGGGTTCCTGCAGGCAGAGTTCCAAGTTTCCAAGGGAGCCCATGGCCTGGGGAGGAGGTCTAAGGGATGGCTGTAGGTGCTGCACCCAAGTAGACTCAGGGCTGCAGTAGCAAGGAACATGGGATACTGATAGGTGACTTCTGCTGAGATCCCTGTCCCCTGCCCAGACGCAGTGAATGACCCAGGAGGTAGGGATGTCTTCCAGGGTGGTGGCAGAGCCAGGCTTCCTCTGAGACACCGAGGTGGGGAAGCCCTGTGGGAGACTTGGCAGGCCAGGGACATTGACTCAGCCTGGTCAGATTTCTGGAGCGGGCAGGGAGAGAGGCTGGGTACTAGACAGGGTTGGACGACGCACCCACAAGGTCAGAGCCCTATGCCAAGGTCTTTGAAAGGCAGCTGGGTGGAAGGGGTGCCCCATCTCAGGCCTGGCACACTCCGGTGCCCTGTGCCTCTCCTTAGCCTGGCTCCCTCTCCCCAGGTTGTACCTGAGCCTGGTTCTGGGGAACGTCAACGTGACGCTGTTGAGCAAGCAGGCCAAGTACGCGTCGCTGGGGGCTGGGTCTGCCCGGGCTTACCCCCCCCACCAACACCCCTGCTCCGCCTTGACCTCCTTCGGCTCCTTTGGCTCCTGGGCTTGGGGCTGTTCTGCACTGGCCAGTGTCTTCCTGGGGTGGCAACGTGGGAGGGCCACCCCTGGCAGCCCAGCCCGGCCCATGAGCCCGTGCCTCCAGGTTCGCTTACAAGGACGAGTATGAGAAGTTCAAGCTCTACCTCACCATCATCCTCATCCTCATCTCCTTCAGCTGCCGCTTCCTGTTCAACTCGAGGTGGGTGTCTTGCTGCTGGGC